CCTTCTTCGGCAGTTTGACAAGGTAACCCTTCTTCCAATCGTCAGGTACCTTCTCTTCCTTCCACACCTTCTGCAATAGTGGTGTGAGCATGGCCGCTGTTGTCTCTGCATCTGTTTTCAGTGCTTCTGGCGGTATTCCATCTGGTCCTGCTGCTTTCCCGCATTTCAGTAGCTTTATGGCGTTCAGGACTTCCATTTTCGTTGGGGGATTAATGTTCACTTGTAGTTCAGCGGCTGCAGGTGGTATTTCTGGACGAAGTGCAGGTGGTGGTCGATTCAAGAGCTTCTTGAAGTGGTCGGCCCATCGTTTCCTCTGTTTCTCTTCTTTTGTAATTAAATTTCCTTCTTCATCTTTTATTGGTTTCATCTGTGTTGGTCTCTTCCCTGATAGCAACCTGGTTATTTGATACAATGTCGTCAGGTCTCTCTTACCTGCAGCCTGTTCTGCTTCACTTGCCAGTGTTTCGTAGAAGTGTCTTTTGTCTTTGCGTGCACTCTTCTTCACTTCTTTGTCCAGTGTTTTATACATTGTGCTCAGTTCCTCTTGTCGTTGAGCATCCTTGCACTGGTTTATCTTCTGCTTCACCATCCTCCTCTCCTCTATCAGCTTCCAGGTATCCGTCGAGATCCATTCCTTGTCTTCTTCTTCCTTCCTAATACTGTTGTGCAGGTTTCTTTCCACATAGCTTTCAAAGACTTCCAGTGTTCTTCCACACAGGTTTCTTCAGGGATGTTGCTCGATGTCTCCCATTTTGTCTTGATGGCTGCCTTGAAGATCTCCTTTGTAGTTTCATCCTTCAGTTTCCGAGTGTTGTACTTGAATTGAGGTCTATCACCAGCTTCCTTGAAGGCTTTTAACTTGATTTGGAAGGTTCCTTGCACTAGGTAGTGGTCTGAACCTACATCTGCTCCTCTTCTTGACCTTGTGTTAAGTAGACTGCGTCTCCATTTTCTTGAGATTGAGATAAAGTCGATTTGATTTTTAGTGTGTCCATCTGGTGAAATCCATGTCGCTTTGTGGATATCTTTGTGCCTGAACACACTGCCTCCAATCACCAAATCGTTGAATGCGCAGAATTCTGCAAACAATTCTCCATTCTCATTCATTTCACCTAGTGCCTCTCGACCCATGGTTAGTTCTCTTCCCGTGTTGTCCCCTCCCAGTTTGGCATTCATGTCGCCCATCAGAATTTTGATATCGCCAACTGACGTCTTGTCCAGTGTTGATTGAAGTTGTCTGTAGAAATCCTCCTTTTTCTCTTGCTCTGCATTATTTGTAGGTGCATAACATTGTATGATTGTGACCTTTCTTCCTTTTGAGTTGAATCTTGCTGTCATGATCCTGGAGGAGATTGGTTCCCACTGCATGAGAGCCTTCGATGCTCTTGAGGACATCATGATAGCCACTCCCTCAGTGTGCTCGTGGTTGGCGTCTGGGTGACCGGAGTAGATTATTGATTCTCCAGTTGACAGTTTGGAGAGTCCACTCCCATTCCATCTGCTTTCGCAAATCCCAAGCACTTCGATGTTATACCTTCTCATCTCCTTTGCAATCTGGGCTGCCTTACTGGGTTCAAACATCGTGCGGACATTCCATGTCCCCACGTTTACTTTCGCTTTCATCGAGAGAAGACACATCGGCCAATTGGCTTCCCGAAGGCTTTCACCAACTGGCGTCATTTCGCCTCTCCGATTCCAGCGGGGAATAAGTTTGTTTTCATTTTTTATATTTTGTTTGTGCTTTGAAGTTTCTTTAGCGGTTAGATTTGTTTTACGGGGTAGGGTTGCTAGCCCTATGCCCAACCTTCCCTCTTTACCCGGGCTTAGGACCGGCTAGTAACTAGTAAACTAGTTAACCAGGCGAGGTTAATTATCATCTTTATGCCAATCAAAAACACTACCAGGTTTTTTGATCACCTTGTTTTTAGACCTGAAAATGTTTGGCACCTAGAAAATGCAAGTTGAGAGTTTAAGATAGCCTGCATTCACTTCTAGTTGGATAGTAAAGAGTTGATCAGCTGAGCACACTAACTGCTTGACGAATATTATTGATGTGGTTGTCTTTTTCTACCCGCACTATGCATAGTACCGCTAATATATTTAAAGAAACAAATGTCCTAGCATCCATTAAATCTGTTAAATTGTACTGCTATAAAATACAGTCCTTAGAAATACCCAATATGATAAGCATATAAGCTAACAAAAGTTGGAAACATGGAGCACTGGATTCTGACCCAGTGGCTCAATGGTAACGCGCTGGCCGCAGAACCTGAAGGTCTTGGGTTCGATCCCTGCTGGTGGGGTCGTGGGTGCGCACTGCTGAGTCCCATACTAGGACGAAACAGCTGTCCAGCGCTCCCAGGTTTCCTTTGTTCCTCCAACTGATGTCAGTCTACGATGAATAACAACTTGAAATAAGCATATAAGTGTTTCATTATATCTTCGTTGTATAGTTTGCATTTCATGAAACTACCAAGTTGGTGCTGTTGTTGTTAAACGTAGAGTTATATATAGGGATAGTCAGTTGACAAGAATGTTAATGTGGATTGGCTTCGGTGGTTTCAGCCTATGCTCAAAAGAACTGCTGGTAGAAATGTCAGTACATGTAACTCGTAATTATTGCCAGGAACACATGAATCCGTTTCTTTTTCCTCGCCAGTGGTAAATATCATTTTGTATTCAATTCATTTTACTTTCATATCTTTATCGTTTCTTCTTGTCGGATTAACGGTTTATTTGTGCAACTTCAATCCACTTATTTGTCAAGTTATACTTAATCTGTATCTTCCTCATCAGGCAATCAAGTCTACCCTTTTAAGCTTGGCTCTGAACCTATGTCAGTGGCACAGATGTATACATACATTATCCTCATCTGAACAACGCTATACCGAATCTCACCATTTTCTTATTCTTCCTTTCTCTCTTTTCATACTTCATTTTCCTTCTAAGTGAGTTTTCTTTTCTTCATCTTGCACTTCACTGCCTTTTTACTTGATGCACTGATATGAGGTGTGGCAACTTGGAGGGTTACGCGGTAATGCCTGGTCCCATATTGATATTGATGATGATGATGATGATGATGTAAGCTACCGAGGGAGACCATACATATCAACGAAGTTAAACGTCTTATTCATGTTCGTATATTACTCTAACGAACCAAAACTTTTAATGTTGCTGCTGACTGCATCATCAGTATATGTGTGTAACTACACACCGCTTACTTGTTTCCTAAGTGAAGTTGGTTATTTCGTTGTCTTGATACTTGTAATTTCCCTTTGGTATACAGGGCCGAATTGCTCGACCTCTGTTGGCCAGAGGTGCTCCTGTTCTGATGTTTCAATCCTACTGGATATCCATGATGTTATATTCACCTTGTTGACTAGCTGTGGAATTCAGGACACGCGTTTCGTCCCACTTGGGACTCGTCAGCTGCATGTACCTGCATCCCAGTGAGTGATGTTGTTCCCACTGAGACTTGAACCCAATACCCATAGTTTCAAATGCTAAAGCGTTATGTGTTATGTATCTATTTCTGGATTGGAGTTTACAAGACAACTGAACTCGATGGTTGAAGATTCAAAATTGACCTCGGTGGCACAGATGCATTCAAGCATTATCTTCACCTAAGCCATAACATTATATTGTTAAATTCACCTTACCTTCTTTACTCATTGTTCTATGGTTCCTAGGATGGCCGATATTTTTTTTTTTCCACTTGTCAACTTTCGCAGTAATCCTATGGTATGGAAGATTGTTTTGCGACCCATTCGCAAAGGAAACAACTTGAATGATGTGCAGAACACTTGTAGAAGTATTTCAGCTAGCCTCCAACTACTTTCTGGTTGTTCGCTACCCAGTTGTATTCTGAATGGAACATTGAAATAGCACTCCCGATGTTTACAGAAGTTAGGGAGGCTGTAATTGATTTGAAATGAGAAAGGGCATCAGACTCTAATGGGATTTCATCTCTTATTTAAGGATAGTGCTACAAGTTTAGTTATTAGACTGACTGAAGTATTAGATGGCGCATAGGATGGTAGAAATGAGAGACAAAAACAACATATAAGGCACAAATGTGGTCACCTCTGACTATTTTCATCATTTTTTGTTTCAGTCTTCAAGAGATGAGGAAAAGAATCATTCTAAGGACGATGGTATCCAAGATTTTATAATCATTCCACACTTAGTTGGAACGTGGTAACAACAAATTCGAAAAAGACAGTTAGGTTTTAGACCTAACCACCGACTTGTTGGCCAGGTCAATGGTCTTCATCAGACGTTGAAACATATGGATAGTAATTGGTGCATGATACTATCTGCATTTCTTGATCTGAGGCCGGCATTCGACTCTGTCAGTCGAGAGGTCTTGTAACAGTTTCTCGCGGAAAGTGATATCCAGTATGTTACCTCGCTGAACGCTCTACCCCTTACTTACTTGGAAAGTTGGACCAACTATGACGGATTTGCAACCAACAAACTCTTTGCGCAAATATCAATTGCTCGATTGGATTTTTCCAGCTTGAGTTATGTGTGGTGTTGGTGAGATATTCGACTGTCTTTCAAATGCTGAATAGTACAAAACAGCTCTCACTTTCTTAGTATATGAATATGATGCACGACTACTAAAATTGGAGGACATGGGTAGGCTCTGAATATTCTGTCACCACAACCTTCGTAGCATTATCTGAGTGTCGTAAAAACAACCTGTGGATAATATAAGGATTAGACGCAGTGTATTAGTTGGGAGAGATAAGTCAGTTGATATGTTCTGTGTCAACCAGATCAGTTACACAGGTGCTTTGCTGATATCAAGTGCGAAGTCGAAAAAATCCATACCCTGGGTTACTTAAGTTTGTCATCATTATTCGACCAGACCCTTTTAACGACCTAAAAGAAAGGAAAGATTGACATCTGTTCTTTCTCTTATTCTGTCAAATTGTATAACTACCAGACTGCTAATAATTCCTTCATTATTACACTCCTTATTTACATTCTTGCAGTTTGCGCTTAATATCGGAATTCGTTTTGTAACCCCTGAAGAACTTTGGTTCAATCAATCAGATACCGATAAATTTGAAATGCCTAAATTCAATCCAACTGAATTATTATCTAATAATGAAATACAAAATACTAAAATGCCATCCATTCAACGATTAAATCAACCTGAACTTGTTTTACTGATAGGATATCCTGCATGCAAGTTATCATAACTACTTTTTGAAATATCTCTTATTATTTATATATTTTTTATACTTTAATTGGTCAAATATATGGTAGTAAACGCATCATACCACTTGAACAAGAAGGCTAGCATACAAACGACAAATGACTTGAAAATGAATGATACAAAATAGACAATGTATATTTATCATAAATAGTGGCTAGCAGTGGAATTCAGGACACGTGTTTCGTCCTATTTGGAACTCGACAGGATAATACAAGCAACAACATTATAGCAGACAACGGTTTATAAGAGGAGAACTTATTTAAAAATTAAGGTTAGTCAAAGAGGGAATACATAACCGCCATCGTGATCTATGTTCAGCTGTTTCACCAAGGTCGCTAATAATTGTTCTTATGGTCTTGGGGACCCTAGCTAGTTAGCCTACACCTCCCTATCGAGTTCTGACCAACAGTCAGAGACTATATTAACTGGTACCAGGTCTTCTTCCCACCACCTTGAACCTTTTTCCAACCTAATCGGACTTCTACCATCATTGTCGGTCGTGATAGGTAGTGGCTTAACATGCACAGTACATGTCCAAGCCTTTTTATTCGACAAAGGTTCACAACCTCATCAATCAACCTGTCTGTCTTACTAGTACCCTTCACCTGACTTCTAGATTGCTCACGCGGCGATTCCACCAAACCAAACAATGCTACGAAGATAGCTGTGATCAAAAGCCTGTAACCGCTTCATATCTCTTTTTTTTAACGGTCACATCACAGGACAGGACGGACTGCAGCGTGGTATATGTAGTTTGATATCTCGATGACGCCACAGATTATGCAAGTCGGCAAATACAAAACAGACCTATTTCCGTGCTGAGATTTCATCAGCAACGAGGCTGATGCAACCTCCCAAGTAAGTGAAGTGGTCGACGTATTCTAGTATATCATTTCCTTTCATTAAACCGAGCGGTTGCAGATAAGTACTGAAGCATCAGTTTACATTTGAATGGTGCAAAGCGCATATCAAACATATCTCGATTTTTGCTCAGCGCGTTCAGAAGACTGCTTTTTGTTAGCGTTTCTGGAAAACAGTACAATGTCGTCTGCAAGTTAACAAAATGTCTTAGTACCTAAAATTTGTCTTGTTACGGTGGAGAAACGAAATTCACTGACCAATCAACTACTCCTTTGTGTAGTAGGCAATAAGCTACACCTTTTGTGTGAGGGCTAACCGTACTACCTGCCTGCTGAAACCTCGGTAGGTGAAGTGAGGGTTGAACCTGTGACTTGTCGACCAAAAATCACGCACCTAGACCAATGAACCACAGCTCCACTACAGTTGTTGACCATTTACGGACATCTGCATGAAGGAAAGGTTAACGTGCCAAGAAAAGATGCCATCACTTTGATTAAAAAATACAAGTTCTCAGAATTACAGCTGTGAGTCATAACTATAGCTTGACCTCAATAGATAAAGAACAACGATTGCAGCCGAATGACTTGGCACCATTTTATTTCACCGGTTGCTCGTCAGCTGCTTACAACCTTAAACACCAAAATATCATATTAGAAAAAATTAGAACATACTTTTTCGCAGTTACATGAAGCAAATGATGAGAAACTGGGAAAATAAAATGGTATCATGTTATTCTGCCGTAATTTCTTTCTCTACTCAAGTTCATAAAAGAGAATATGTGTGTATGATACAATTTGATCTTTCAGTAAGTAAGTAGAATATTTTCTGAGGGTAATTAGCAACAAATTCTGATTAAGCTGTGAACCTGTTTGACACTCATCAGTAAGATGTACAAATCAAAATAGATTGATTGTCTCTCACAGAATTCGGAATTGTTCTTTTTTTTATATCACTTTTGAGCATTAAGGTTTCAAGTAATCGTTTGAAAGATTGAAATAAATAAGTTACCTGATCATTAGATTGTAACTGACATCAACGCTGCATCATTTCCAGTACTGATCGAGTTGTAAGAAAACCAAGTACACAATGTTGTAGCCAACAAGTCTAGTATCTTGCATTCGTAGTCTGAAGAGGTATATTATAATGGAGAGTCGCCTACCACATATTTTTGGCCTAAAACGATACTTGCAGAAAATATCTTTTCCAAAATGGTTAAAGAGAACCTGGAATTTGGTTCTGTCAAATATTTCGTCAATATATATATATATATATATATATATATATATATATATATATATATATATATATATATATAATTATTTTGACTATGTGATAGCCGTGGTTTGGCAGAGTGGTATTTATACCCAGTGATGATTGAAGGTGAACTGAAAATTTGGACCGTAGCCAGATTCAAACCATCGACCACCGGGTTTCCAACCCCATGCTCTACCAACTGAGCTACGAGGTCCGACTGCTGACCAGATTTTTCATTTCACTTCAATCACCATGGGTTTTCCCCGACTGCCATGTGAATACATGATGCATTACTATTGCCTGGTTGTATTCACACTGGCTGCCTAATCAGGACTTTCATCCCAATCGAAATGTAACTGAATTAGAGAGAGGGAACATCATATTGATTATCATTTGACTATCTGGGATAGCTGTGGTTCAGCAGACTAGTACTGATACTGGGTGATAATTGAAGGTAAAGTATTGGGCCGGAAAACCCGGTGGTCGTTGGTTCGAATCCACCCGCAGTCCAAATTTTCATTTGGTTGCTACCAAACACTTATTCAAGTAGGATAAAATGTTTTTTACTCTGAGGTAATCTTTTATGCTTGGTTTATTAATTCTTATTTTGAATAGAAATTTCTGTGTACATTTTTTAGATTATAAAGCAGTCCTTCCATCACTTTTTATCCAACAGAAATCTTGTCAATATAGGAACACATCAAAGCTTATACGTTCACTCTGCCTGATGATGAAAGCAGTTTATGCGATTAGCACACTGTAGATATGAATGACATTTGCTAATCTGAAGATAAGAGCTCGTGAAATTTTGTTCTACACAATTGAAAATTGATACTTCTTGATAGCTTGTCTATCATTTGGCAAAGAAGTGAACTAATTAGGATACACATACAAATTGTTAGTTAACTATGTCCGCATTTAGGCACTAAACATGAAAATGATGATCAAAGTTGGAGGTGAATGTGAGTTTGATAGTATTCAAACCAGAGATAACTGAGTTCCCGACTGATATCTACTGGTTTGACGTGTTGATCAGGCTTGCATATCACAATGATCCAGCGAGCTATGCTGACAGAACGCTTATTCCCTTGAGGTCCTACCATACCAGAAAGGTCCGTTGAATAGTGGTTAAACAAAATACAGTTACCATTATAGTGTAAATTGGTATGCTGTGATGGTGGGGGTGTGATAGCAGTAAGTTGTCTCCCTTGGATGACAAGCAGTGCCACACTGATATTGCACTGTTTATGAGAAGGTGGGATTAAAAAAGGCTGACCTAAAAATAGAACGCTCCTACTCCTCGCGGCATGCCGATGCTTGAAACAGAGATTCAGATTCAGAAGCAAGAAACAAAATCTAAAACTTCCTAAAAGGCAGTACGTGACTGGCTTCAAGCAGCTGTCCCTTGTGTTCTGCGGTCACACACTATCCCTTCTCTTTCAGGTTCCTTAATAAGAACTAGCTTTCCACAGTTTAGGCAGCTGCGAAGTGTCAACCACCCACACGCTTCAAGTAGTGCACGAGACCTAGTCAAACAACCCATACACATCAACTTTCTCCTCCTTTGCCTCCTGATATTAACAATAAGCCCCTTACAGCTTCCCCAATCTCTCATTCTGCTACCATTACCAATGAGCGAAGTTATATCTGAGTTACCAGCTTAACTCAAACTGTTGGCCGAGTCTTGGTTTTATTACAATCAGCGATCGGTTTCTGTGGCTGTCACGTAAGTACGTATTGCGTAACTCTTCTGTCACTATTACTACACTAATTACTCATCACCAATCATCAATATCAACGTAGGAACCAGGCATTACTGCATAGCGGTCCGAGGTGCCACACCTCATATCACTACATCCAGTAAAAAAGGCAGTGAGGTGCAAGATGAAGATAAGAAAATTCACTCAAAAGAAATATAAAGTACGAAAAGAGGCAAAGGAAGAATGAGAAAATGATGAGATTCGGTGTAGCCTCGCTAAGATGACGATAATGTGTGTATGCATCTGCGCCACTGACATCGGTTCTCAGCCATTTGATCACCTAGAGTTTCTAAACACTGGTTTCTCTTGTCCTGTGGACGCCAACCACCTAGTCTGCATCTCCCCACATGGCTCAAACCAACATTCAAACACTTCATACATTGGTGCCATGTTTTAGTCTGGCCACCTCGGGTCTTTTTCCAGCCTAAACCGACTTCGGCCAACATTGTGTGACGAGGCAATCGATGACTAGGCATACGTAGTACGTGTCCCAACCATCTCAATCGATGAAGGTTCATAACCTCGTCAACTAATTTACCTCTTCTCCCTAAAGCTCTACACCTGACTTCCGTCTTACTTGGTGACACCACGGGATACGGCCTAGTTACTCAAGTTTTGTCATTGGAATCCATATTGGCCTAAATTGTAAAAAGGGGACGATTTATCGTTGTTTGACTCGACTATTCAATCGAGTATTACTTAGCTAAATCACTTAATGATACAAGAATAGTAAGTGAGATTTTTCCAAAACCTGTTCTCACAAGATTCTAAGTGCTGATTCGCAGGTCACCAACTTGAAGCTTCACTTGATTGAGTCGCAAAATTCAGCTATTGCCCATATTTTAATCATCAAGTTTTTCCAACCCTTAAAATAAATCAGTTTACCCAACTACTGAGATCATGTCTGATAGCGTGTTAACTTTGAATCCCCTATTTTGTATTGTTTATTTGACTCGTGATTGCCGAATTGTTTATCTTATGGTTTGGTTATGTTTTCTTGTTTTCTCTCTATAGCTGGTAAATCGCATTTCTGCTGTCAGGTGTTGGCACCACTTGGTTATGAAATAATAAGTAGGGTAGGTTGTTAATCTTATGTTATTTACTACATTGCCTAATTAGTTTATGTGAATTGCTTAGCATACACATTGACCGCCTACTACAGTAATAAACTGCCTTTAGATGTTTGTATTAGAGGTGGCAGTTATTATAGTTGGTGAGGTGGGGAGGTATTTGTAAACAACATATCTTGGCCTCAACATAGATAGACATTTTTGTCGATGTTGTTGTCTTAACTGGTGTTCTTTTCTTCGCCTCTTACCAGTTATGTAAGTAATACCTTACCGATTGATAGTAAATAAAATAATCAAGGTATCTGTAGGCACATAAATGACTGAATGCTTCAGCTTATTGGCTTGCATACCTATGTAAATAAAATTTATACCGAACACTTTTGCCGAATGTGCAAGCCTATACGTAGCTTCGAAAACTTCAAATTTCCGCTTCTCTTACATCGTATTAGAATGTGTTGGTTACATTGATATTATTAATCATGCAACTGAGCAACCAAGTGCAGGTTTTAGCACTAGGCAATGAGTCACACCTATTGTGTTGAGGGCCAATGATACTGCTCGGCTCCTCAAAAAGGTGGAGCAGTGTTCAAACCCGTGATCCGCTGGTTGAAAGTCAACTTTCTGGACCAGTGGGCTACTGTAATGGGCATCGCTGATCAGAATACATATAAGTAGTATATGTTGAGAAGGCGGCAGAAATCATAGAGAATTACCAGCAATGGATATAATTTCTCCCACCCTCTCAAAATATACTACTTATGTCCATTCTGATCAGCAACTCCCACTACACCACAACTCAGAATAAATAACCCAACAGCTTCATCATAATACTGTCATTCGTTCACTGAGAACCTTTCGTCCCTTCAAAAGACTTAATGATGTTGTTTATTAGTTTTTAACTGTTTTCGTTTACAACACCTAAAGGGGTAGAGTGAAATGCCGCAAACCTGAAATTCTTCCACTAAAAGAAACTTGGCAAAATCTGACCTCTTCTCATACGAAATTTGTTTGTAGAAAATTGAGGAAAAGAATTAATGTTTTTAGAATACGACCTCCATAAAGCATAAAACATAAACAGGTGCTACATAAGCTCTAGGTCAACCCCATTTATTCCATATTTTTTGTGAAATTTTCTGTTGTCTATAATCTCCCACGAAACGCTTATATAAATAATTGATAATGAAAGAAAAATGAAATGAAAGACATCAGCAACTAACTGGATGTGTTAAACGTCATCTATAGATTACAATAGCAGTTTTGCAGCTTTGACTTTTGGTTTAGGCACATTCTATTCTCCAACTGCGAGTCATGGGTTAGGGCCCTGTTAAATCTGCAAAGTTTCTTCAAGTTGGCATTCATCATGGACTGACTTGGCTTCATAAAGAAATTGACTGACAGTCACTGAGTCAGTATAATTGCTTGTATTATACTGTCGTTGACTGGATCTAATTGATCGGTCTCTATTGGCATATGGGCTCCTGTGCGGATGCCTCAATATTGCCTGTGTTTTAATTATATATGGTAATAATGGATATTGTTACGCTTATATACTATTATACTAACACTGTGCCTGTCGCACAAGAAGTAGCTGTCGTGGTTCGATGGTGTAATGGATAACGCCCTGACGTTTGAAGCGATCGCTCCCGAGCCCGAATCCCAGCGGGAACAACATCACTCGCTAGGTGGCAGGTACATCCAGCTGACCAGTCCCGAATAGGACGAAGTGCGCATCCTTGATTCCACTGCTAGCCACTATCCATTGTTACTGTAGTTACTGAGTTACTTTTGTTCCTTTCATACAAAGTATCATACTCTAGATGAGATTAGAAGTGTGAAATAAGGGATTTGTCCGTACCGTTTAGTTTATCTGTTTAATCTAGACATCTGCATTTATCAATAGTTGTGGTTATTATACCTAAAGGTTTATTTATGTAGTGATAACAATAATAATTCAGGATAAATACAGATACCTGTAAATAGCTTGTTTTTCGTGTTAACATTAAGCTCCAAATTTATTTGATTTCTTGATGTAAGCATTGAACTCCCGAACACGTGCTTCACCCCTTGCTTCCATTAGTCAGCTGGTTCCCGTTGTTTATAATGATGCTTTTGTGAGCGTTTATCACACTGATTACTAACTGCACACGAAAATGTAGGTAATAAGGAATTTCCGTGTATATTTCATATAGGAAGTTAAGCTTTTGTCAAACATATGTTCGAATAGGTGCTTTATTAGTCGGCCTATATATGTTCAAATGGAATTCACTCGTTCAATTTAGGTTAAATAATATGCTGTGTTCTAGGTTTGCTTTTTGTCTAGGCTCTGTTGAACAGTTTGTTGATTGATAGTCATTCTCCTTCGAGCTATTTATAGCATCTGGAAAAAAGGTGTTGACTATGACCATCTGTATATAGGCTACCTTTATAGATATTTTATGGAAAACAAAACTCAATTTTGATAACAAGTACCAAGATTATTCCAGAATAAATCTCTATTCTATAACCTTGATATGTGAATGCTAAATTCACGATAGTAGTTTCATACTTTTCTTTATTTGTACTAGCCTAGAAAGCTGGATAATTTCATTATCGTTCAAATAGAAAGTGTAGTTTACAGTAATAATATACATATATGAATTTGTTTGCGTCTAGTGAGTAAGTGTGGTGTTTTTCAAAGTGATGCCAAAGATTTTTTTCATTAGGACCCGAATTAATCCACTCCATAGCATAACCGATGAAACAGGAGGTGCGATAGACATCGGTTGATCATTTCCTTTTGATTATGATATGGCAGTATTTCACCAAATAGTCAAACTAACAGAATCATGTAAATGCGTTTACATGTAATATAACACTAATAACAATATGATTTAATAATTAGTAGCTTAATTGTATCCCATACACTCATCGTACCTTGAATCTGATTCTATATTTGAAGTGATTTACTTTCAAATGCTTAAATCTAGAACAAAACGGATATATAGTACTCCTTTATATTATTATTTGTCCCTTGGCTTCCTACTGGAACACACGGCTTCAGTAACACGTCGCCATTTCACTCTGCTCTCGACAATCTTTTCAACCTGGCTCCATAACTTCCCATAAGCTTTCATTTCTTCCTCACACCATCTTCTCCATATAATCCTCGAATCGGACACCCAATCGTCGTTCCCTATTCGGCTTCCACTAGACGGCCTGGCCTGACCTGACCTGGCACTTGATGTCCCCAAATGCTCGTCTCAGTGTATGTCCAATCTAATCCAATCAAATCCATCTCCACTTCCTTCTTCTGCATATTTGTTGGGAGAGGGTCTTGGTTGGTTGGTTCGTTGCCTGCCAGCCAGGCAGGCAGAGTTCCTTGTTGCTTATTCTTATTACTTTGGCCATCTGATCTTCAGTACAGTGTCGAGTGAGCGTAGGCGGCAGCTGTTGATGTGATGTATGTCTGTAGTTTGTTGGAAATGCTTTCCGTAACACGCCGTCAAGTCTCTGAACCAACACATAGAGGCATTGACTTGACTGACTTAGTGTTGAAAATCGTCATCTTGTTGTTGACGCTTTATACTGAGTGCATTGCAGTGGATCTGCACACTGATAATTTCAGGTTAATGCAGGGACGCCTTATTTGGTGTCTTTCCGATCCTGGCTTTGACGTTGTCATCTGTGCCTGTGCCACCTGTAGTAGAGTTGAAACGACGCTGCGTACATAGGTGAGAGAGGCAACTTCGTTTAGATTTCTCCCGTTGATGGTGATTGGTGCTTGCTGTTGTTGTTGGTTGGGTATCTTCGTCACCTGTGTCTTCTCTACGTTCACCTGTCAGAAGTTTCGTCTTCGCTGCCCTTCCTCTTCTCCCAACTTGTTAGTTTTCACCTGTAGATCTTCGAGTTTGTGCGACGAGATATTGGACATAAATGATCATTGGTGAAATCCAAATATTCTAGAGTCTTTTCATTTAACGAACAGTGTATGCCCATCTTGTCATAGCTGGTCACAGTTTGTTGCATGATCCAGTCGAGTCGAGTGGACCACATTGAGGCAGATGATGTGTGATAGTAGGCGGCAACCTTGTTTTACTCCTGTCTTCACTTCAAAGGCGACACTGAGGTATCCATTGTGAATCCTTGGCATGTAGCATTATGTAGCATATAGCTGCTGTTGAATGAGGTTGATAAAGGTTTGTGGGACTGAAATCGTAGTGTTTAAGTAGCCGCCTGTCAAATGACTTCTCGGTCGATGCCTCTATCGAAGGCGTTTTCGAAGTCGATGAAGTTGAGGTGAGGTAGGGTTGAGTTGACTGTAATTCTGTAGTGTGTTGTATGATAATGCGTAGCGTAGCGTTTCAATATGATCGGTATATGATTTGTTTTTCATGAAGGCAGCGAGCCTGTCCGGTCGTGATTTTGAATGCATAGTATATTTTAGTCACTCCAGGATGATGCGGCATATAGTACTCCTAATTTCTTGTTATTTTTAGGTTTAACTAGTTTCATGTTTCCTTCGAAAGCCACTAAGTTTTAATTTTATTTGTGAGCTAACATCATCCTGTAGTAACGCTAACAAATGTAAGTATTATCGTTTCCGTGTTAATGCCTGTATTATACCGTCTTCGATTGGACTGAATTGATTGGCCTTTATTGGCATATGGAATCATGTGCGGATGCCTCGATATAACCTCTGCTTCTCTTTAGTTGTAGTATTGATGGATGGTGGCTAACAGTGGGATCCAGGATGCATATTTCGTCCTGTTTGGGACTCTTCAGCTGGATGTACCTGCGTCCCACTGAGTGATGTTTTTCCAACTATCCGTCATTAATATAATTAAAAAACAGGTAATATTCAATCAACAATCGTAAGAGGATTGGAAAAAGACTACTTGCCTATAAACCACTTATTATTTATAGCAGAACAGGTCGTTATTGTGTACAATTGTAATGAATGTGTGTCGCAGAACGTTAACATATCAACTGCTTTGCAGTTGACTTCCAACTAGTCGATGGTGAGTTTGAACTCTGTTTCACCCAGCTAAGTGTAACCAACCAGGTAGCATTACTAACCACCATACAGTATACATAGTTCATTGTGTAGCGTACAATCCTACAGGTGATTGCCAAGTATCAATAATGTTTGTATAACGTTTCAAGTGCAATCAGTACCGTGTATTTGCCCATTTACACATATATTGTATTGAACAACTAAGTTGGTAATTACGAACCAGTAATGTCTATGATTTGTTCTCTAATTGTTTTAAACCCTATAAAATTTTATTATGCAACAAGCTAATTATCATAAGCTGATGATGAGTAATAAATTATCCTCGTGATGTCCAAAGTCATTCATGTTTATGTTCATATATGTATACCTTACCTTTATACTGCTACCTACTCTCCGTTCTTATCTAACCTTCAATACAAAATTACTATTCCTCCTCATCCCCCTATTACTGCTACTACCACCTTTCTTTTTCTTTGTATCCTTTGATCGTTTTGCCTAACTCTCTTCATACACATTTCACCGAGTGCTGTTGTTGTTGTTACTGCCTATGAAACTACCCAAATAGTTGAATGGAAATACGATCTTATGGATTTTTTTAAGAAAAAGCCGTTTTATTTCTTAACACTTGTTATCGCAAGTTATTATTATTATTATTAAACAGATTAAGTTAGTGCACCCTTTGATGTTGATGTACAAATGGTAGAAAGTATTTTTCTCGTCGAAGTTTTGTGTTTCGACCTTCACTGCCGTTATTACCATCAATTAGACTACTGTTATTAGCACTTCCCCTTCTCAATCATTACATCCGTATGGAACATGTTCATGTGTGTTTCACGTGTTTTCTTTGTATGTATGCGCATGTGTTTACGTGTGTAAAGGAAAAAGAGTAGAAAACATATGTGTTGTACGTATGTTTATGCACTTACGAAATTCTTTCGAAAAACATCAGTGAAATGTGAAAAATATTGCACAATAAAAACTTCGAAAAAAGTAAGAAAGGAACTTGTAATTAATTTTTTTTTTAGATAACCACCTTGACATCATTGCAAATTTGGTTAAGATCACTGATTACGCAATTTCACTATCGTTTGTTTCTCGGTGGGTAACAATGGAATACTAAATGTCTTTACTGTCAGAGTTCGAACGCTTCAGTCGTATACCTGTGAATCCTAATAAATTGATGTTCCAGTAAAGACTCCAGTGAAATATCCACTGCCTTAAATATCAAATTGTTATCCAGTAGTTTGGTGCGTCACAAGAACCACTTCTTATGCATCGGATGTTAGTTTCTATTTGGAATTTAGAATTATTCTTTGTTCACATTGTTGAACCGAACTGCCCGACTGGTGTTGGTATATTTGTTAGTTTATAGTTTGCGAGTATATCCACCTAACAAGTTCTAAGTAGAACAAAATGTGCACCACGGATTTCACTACTATCAATAAAAATGTAATATCAAAATGTAAATCGTGCTAGTATTGAGCTGTCACGACCGATAGCTGCTATCTTGACGTGTTGATAGGACTTACATATTATAATGACCCGACGAACTATGCTGGTAGAACACTTGTTCGCTCGAGGTCCTGCCGCACCAGAAAGATCATTTGGATAGTGGTAGTAAAATGAAAAGCAGTCACCGTTATAGTGTAAATCGCTAGCCACCCTGTGGTGGGGGTTGGACGGTGAAGTCATACTGCTGCCTGGGCAGGTGTATGGCAGCAGTAAGGCGTTTTCTGTGGATGACCAGCAGTCCCATACAGATGCTGCCTCCCGTATAAGGAGAGGGTTCGATAAGGTTGGTTTCAAAAATGGCACATTCCTCCTTACCCTGCAATCTCCTGGTGCCGGTGATATGGGTTCATAGTTGGATTTTTAAAAAACACTGAAATTTCAAGCAGTCCTATTTCCAGGTACGTCAAGAAGAACTAGCCCCCCACAGTGTAGGTAGCCAAGAAGTGTAAAACGTTTTTGGCTGTCAAAATAATCTTAGATTTGATAGAATCATACCTACTAAATGGTTCTCATTGTAATCGCAAAATCCTTATCCGGTTCACTTAATATTTGTAACTTTCTTTTGATCAAATAATTCTTCTTCTTAGTGATATCTAGTAGTCTTTAGCATTGAAATTCAGGACTATCGTTCCGTTTCATTCGGCACTCATTGGTTGGATATGTATGCATTCTAGTAGTAGTTGTTACACTGAGAATTGAATCCGAAACTTTAAACATCAAAACATCATTCACTGATCTATTGTGTTACGATAACCATATCTTGTTCAACAAGTAGTTAATTTTATAAGTATAAGTTGATAAACCTTTGTTGGTATAACAGATCCTTGTACCGAGATCTTAATATTCCCTGCGATAAGATCTAATGATCATACTAGAATCATGAATAAGAGCCTTCTGCAGTAACAAACATTTCCTTGCCAGCTTTTGATTTTCCTCTTTGAGGCCTTACCTTACACTTTGATTGGCTCATCTCTTCTGATTATCACCATAGAGTAACACTAAACATTTCGTGTTAAAATGTAACTGAATGAAATGAAATATGATTCATCAACGACTTGCAGGTTCATGTAATAGGTAATGAGCCATACTTATTGTTTGAGAGCTTACCTGACCGCCCAGACTTCAGTAGGTGAACTGAGGTTCGAGTAAATGATTCATTGGTTGAAAGTTGATTGCTTAGACTAATGAACCACATTTATTGTAGGTACTTCTAGACTAGTTTTTCCATAATGTTTCTACGAAGAAAAAGTTTCTAAATTTCTGCCTGTCGATCTACTTGAATTCAATGTTTCAGTATGTGTTGATCCCTTCAAGTTATTGAAACTTTGGAGTTGAGTCAAATATTAGACACAATTCATAATCTGAAATGAAAATGACAATTGTATTCAACTCAACTATGAAGTTGTACCTTGTGGTATGCGGATTGTAATATATGACAATATATCTAGCACGTTGATAATATCAAGATCATGAGCATTCAGTCTGAACAATAGGAATACTTGAAATCGGTTCACATCAATCAACAGTGCGCTTGCTAGTCATTGTACTCACTGGGATTGAAGTGAGTGAATAGTTTTAAGTTTCTAGCTCGAAAACCGAAATACACTTAACTAGCATATAATATTCACTTAACGTTCGAATCCAATGTTCTAAATACTTAGTTACCAATCTTTGAGTCGCGTATCTGACTTGTGCTTTACATATAATAAACGAACTTGCTGATTAGTGGCATTTTTCATCATTAACAACCTTCTAACACATCAACCTCTTTGTATTTATCAGTTATTTGTGGATTTTTTTTCTACTTTGTATTTCTACTGACTATTTTTACAGGATGTTATTGGTACATGGCAAAAATGTGTTCAAGCTGCTGAAGAAGCTATAGCAAAGAAACAATCTGTTGTGGTAGACAACACAAATATAGATATAGAATCGCGATCTCGTTATATTAAAATTGCTAAGGTATGGGATATTCCAGTGCGTTGTTTCATAATGGAGACATCATTTGAACATGCTCAACATAATGAAAAAGTAAGTCTCTTTGTCCATTCCATTAGTCGGTTTAAATCGTACGTATGAACTATGTAACACTGACATCCCTTTATATTAATATCGGACTTGGCAATCAGTGATGTGTTGTTTCCACTTTCGGGATTATGAAAGAAGAAGAATGAGGACAAGTACCTCAACAAAGAGATTCTTATCAGTAATTTAATTCTTGGGACTGTATAATCATAAACTTATGCATTTTTTCCGTTAGTATACCATAGTTAACAGTGCTTCATCAAACACATTGCAACAAAAAAATAATATTGTAATAGGCGTTACTGATTAGAATGGATATGAGTAGCATATGTTGAGAGGGCGTCAGAAATCATAACAATTCTGCCCAGAGAAACACAAGCGACAATGTGGTCGTATTAGAGCAAATCAAGAATAGAAGCAGAAAAGAAAATGAAACACTATGCAAATGGACTGTCTTAGTGGAAAGTGTACAATATTTGATGACTACTGTGCAAGATGTTAATAATAAACATTCTTTCCTTCATCTCCGTCCTATCGTTTTCTACAATATCACTACATTAGTTATCATTTTAATCGGAAATAGTGGTGAATGGTGAAGATTAACCAAAATTTGATTGGAGTTGCATGGAGAAAACTAAGTTCAAATATCGAGTTATGTAATATGACAAAGCACTCGAAAACTTAGGTGTGATCAGAAGACAGAGATAGGAAAGAGGTAAATTACGCAAAAGGTGAACATCGATTAAAGAAAGAGGACTGTAAATTATGTCCTTCAATTAGCTAAGAGACTATCAGTTTCAAAGTTGATGCAAAAAATGTTCCTCTCGAGTTTGATTATTAAACTTTCACATCTGATCACCTGCCCTTCTGGAATCAGATCTATAGGACATTTGGTACGAATGTTTTCCATAATGCCTAGGAGCTCTATCTCACCTGTGTAGGCAGCGTCGTTTCAACTCTACTACAGGTGGCACAGGCACAGATGACAACGTCAAAGCCAGGATCGGAAAGACACCAAATAAGGCGTCCCTGCATTAACCTGAAATTATCAGTGTGCAGATCCACTGCAATGCACTCAGTATAAAGCGTCAACAACAAGATGACGATTTTCAACACTAAGTCAGTCAAGTCAATGCCTCTATGTGTTGGTTCAGAGACTTGACGGCGTGTTACGGAAAGCATTTCCAACAAACTACAGACATACATCACATCAACAGCTGCCGCCTACGCTCACTCGACACTGTACTGAAGATCAGATGGCCAAAATAATAAGAATAAGCAACAAGGAACTCTGCCTGCCTGGCTGGCAGACTGAAATGAAAAACTCTCATATCTTTATTTATATAAATTTTCACAAACCGTATGTGTCAGCCTCAACTTCACCAGTTACTTTCATATTTTTTTTCATTATCAATAACTGCAAGAGGTTTGCAAGGAATGGAAGGTACCTGCGATTGGAAGACGGGCTAACTTGTCGAACTCCTAAAAACGGCGACCTAAGCGTTCGTAAGAACTGGCACGGAATCACGCTCCTTCCTAAGGAAAATATTAGGCAGCGTCATCCTGGAGTGACTAAAATATACTATGCATTCAAAATCACGACCGAAACAGGCTCGCTGCCTTCATGAAAAACAAATCATATACCGATCATATTGAAACGCTACGCTACGCATTATCATACAACACACTACAGAATTACAGTCAACTCAACCCTACCTCACCTCAACTTCATCGACTTCGAAAACGCCTTCGATAGAGGCATCGACCGAGAAGTAATTTGACAGGCGGCTACTTAAACACTACGATTTCAGTCCCACAAACCTTTATCAACCTCATTCAACAGCAGCTATATGCTACATAATGCTACATGCCAAGGGATTCACAATGGATACCTCAGTGTCGCCTTTGAAGTGAAGACAGGAGTAAAACAAGCTTGCCGCCTACTATCACACATCATCTGCCTCAGTGTGGTCAACTCGACTGGACTGGATCATGCAACAAACTGTGAGCAGCTATGACAAGATGGGCATACGCTGTTCGTTAAATGAAAAGACTCTAGAATATTTGGATTTCACCAATGATCATTTATGTCCAATATCTCGTCGCACAAACTCGAAGATCTACAGGTGAAAACTAACAAGTTGGGAGAAGAGGAAGGACAGCAAAGACGAAACTTCTGACAGGTGAACGTAGAGAAGACACAGGTGACGAAGATACCCAACCAACAACAACAGCAAGCACCAATCACCATCAACGGGAGAAATCTAAACGAAGTTGCCTCTCTCACCTGTGTAGGCAGCGTCGTTTCAACTCTACTACAGGTGGCACAGGCACAGATGACAACGTCAAAGCCAGGATCGGAAAGACACCAAATAAGGCGTCCCTGCATTAACCTGAAATTATCAGTGTGCAGATCCACTGCAATGCACTCAGTATAAAGCGTCAACAACAAGATGACGATTTTCAACACTAAGTCAGTCAAGTCAATGCCTCTATGTGTTGGTTCAGAGACTTGACGGCGTGTTACGGAAAGCATTTCCAACAAACTACAGACATACATCACATCAACAGCTGCCGCCTACGCTCACTCGACACTGTACTGAAGATCAGATGGCCAAAATAATAAGAATAAGCAACAAGGAACTCTGCCTGCCTGCCTGCCTGCCTGGCTAGCAGGCTGGCAACGAACCAACAACCAAGACCCTCTCTCAACAAATATGCAGAAGAAGAAAGTGAGGATGGATTGGATTGGATTAGATTGGACATACACTGAGACGAGCATTTGGGGACATCAAGCGCCAGGTCAGGTCAGGCCAGGCCAGGCCAGCTCGTCTAGTGGAACCCGGATGGGAAACGACGATTGGGTGTTCGATTTGAGGATGACATAGAGAAGATGGTGTGAGGAAGAAATGAAAGCTTATGGGAAGTTATGGAGCCAGATTGAAAAGACTGTCGAGAGGAGAGTGAAATGGTGATGTGCTATTGAAGCCGTATATTTCACCAGGAACCCAAGGGAGAAATAGTAAAAGAATATCATCTCACCTGATTGCAAAAAAGTAACAGTGCACCACTAAGCAGTGGTACAATTGAATACGTCACGAGCATAAGTTACTCCATCTCAGGAACCTCCTCATTTAAAGTAATTTATAAACTAAACAAAAACTTCCTAAGGCCGTATGTCTTCGTATTCTTTGCATCGGCGTTCGCCATCAATATGGAGAAGCCTAAGTTTCGTACGCAGAAGGAAAGCATTCAACGTTTTTTTCCTGATTTTAATTTAGTTTTTGAAATCAACTTCATCCGTTCTGTCCTGTTTTACGGCTATGACATACGGCCGTTAGAAGTAGAAGACATGAAGAGATAACAGGTTTTTGACCTGAAATGTTTTTGTAGCATCGCTCACGTAAGGTAGAACCACCGTATGTGGTCGGACCAACACGTGGTACTAACGTATAACCTCTCTGACTCTTGGTGTGAACCGTATAGGGAGGTGTGGACTAAATGGTTAGGGTCCCTGAGAACTTAGGAATCGGTAGTTGGAGATTCATGACGAAATGGCTGGAAATTGGCCACATTGACACAAATATATTCATTCTTCTAAAGCTTGGATATTTACACCGGTATTTATCCTCAGATTGTTTATTCTCTCCTACAACTTTATCTTCTTTGGTGGTATCACGCTTTTTCTATCTACTTATTCATTCTATACTATTGTGAAGTGTGGCAGCTTGAACCGATGCGTTTGTGTGCGAAGTTCTTATAAGTATTCATCCTTATCCGATCAGCTACTTTCTGTCTTCTGATCTCTTAGGCTGGACCCAATAGCGAGTAGATAGCAGTTTGGCGCTGCACAATAGGTTAACACTGAAATTATTACGACGACCGAGTTTTGCCCATATCCCTTAGAGTTTTGAACTCTATTTCAGTTGTATAGTGTATTCCAACCAGGTAATCTTCTTTAGACAATTAAATAACCTTTTCTTTGTTGACTGGTTATTACATTCGAATTTCGAAAGGATAATACAATGAATAATAAATCGAAAACGAGTTTAATAAGGACACTAACGGGGATTCAAATATGCCCGGTTGACGAGTCTTACAAAGGGTGGAATATCCATTCCTCATCCTGCTACTGTTCAATATGTTTAAACTTGTCAACCAAACTTTTATATTTGATATAACATCCAACTACATCCTCTAGCAGTGCTAAACGTTTCATGTTTACGTATACAGTGTAGAAACTTTAACTACATGGTGACTTTTGATAACAATTAATGATTTATCGTATTCATGTCTGTTTATGTCTGTGCAGACAGTTGTCTGACAGGCAACCCAATTTACTACGACGTGACTGTTAGCCGAGATATGTGACCGATTTGAAAGTAAAACCTAAAACTGGTAAGTGATAATGAATAATAATAACAATAATAATATGCAGTGACAGTTGTTATTCGTACGGGTAAACAGAGGAATGATGGTCCTTTGGAAGTAGCGAATATGGATAATATATAGCTTAACGTAGAAGAATGTTTAGTGCTCATATGAACAAAGTAATTGATTACACTCGATTTATGACTATCTAAAGGATACAAATTAAGTAATGATAAAGAAGACTGATGCATTGGTTGTATCACATACCTTATCATTCAGTGAAGTACAAACATTTTCTTTTTTACTTACAATGAATACAACTCCAAATAATACGAATAATAGTCGAACAACTAAAACTGTACAGTTGATTAAGAATATGAGGGGAAGGTCAGAAGACAGTCAAATAATCTCTTATCAACATATTTAAAATTACCTTATTGTCTACCATACCATATACTTTCTCGAATATATATACACTCGTTTTTTCCCCTATTTTTTATTATTTCACTCAGTTCCGTGCTCTAACGAATTCATCTCATAAACCAATCAGTAGTATGGTATTCAATATGATGAAGTAAGTTGGTTGTTTTTTATGTATCGGTGAATATATGACCCTTCCAGACACATTTTTATGTAAATCATGGTTCCTTGAAGCTTTAACATAAACGGTGCGTAATATGATTCTTCGGTGTTGTTTATGTTTTGGTATGTTCTACCGTAGACACCGAGTCGCCCTTATTTAGACTGAATGGAGAAACAATGACTCTGGGGATGAATGACCATACAGGTCACTCTGTCAGCCACTGAAATGACAAATTAATAAGTTATTTTGGTTGGAAAGACGATTTTGTTGGGACAGATTGGTCGAATTCAGTCAGATATTCAAGAATCGGGCTATTAATCTATTTGTACTCTCCTCTAAACAGCCATGCAGGATTGTGTTCAGAGGTGTGTTTGGATAGAACGCGCTTTGCGCAGTCTACATAACCAGATCCATACGAGCAGGTGTAGAGCTGTGGTTCATTAATGTAGATACTTGATTTCCAATCGATGTATCACGGGTCCTGCTCCGCTTATCAAGGTTTGGGCAAGCAGGTAGTATCATTAATCCTTATACATTAGGTGTGATTTATTACTTACTGCCTTACTGAGATAAGATACTATCTGGGCGCTCAGATCGAAGCAGGTGGTTGTCCTAGGTGACCACTCCCCGAGCCTTTGACTTACAGTCTAGTCCACAAGGCAGTGGAGCAACATTAGGAGCTGGATTCCGATGATTGCCGGTGACCGAAGTAGGTTCATACGCTATTTGTTCCTTCCGAAACCTGGAGCCCATATGTCCCATTGGTTTAGAATCAGGGTTTACCAACTTCCATAGGTGGACCCTTAGTATCTGCCAATCTGGTGATTTGCCCTGGACATTCCTTTTAGCCCTTTCATTTTTGTGCGAACACCTCCGTGACGTGAAGGCAGTAAATTGGACTTCCCTGGCAGAGGTTTTGAACGCATACCATGGCATTTGAGAGCTGAGAAACCCATGGTTACTAAGGTTGTGTTTACAGTCACCCACGATGGCACTATTTACCTAAGATTAGTACTGAGACTGAATCTGTATATAATGGGTTAATATAGCTGTAAACATATTTTGACGAAGCGTCAGTTTCTGCTTCATACATGCTTACATACACTCATGCGTTGGCTCACCATTTGGACGTAACAAACTGATTAATTTTGACGTCAAGCTCTTTCTGATTAAGGTTTTAGTTCACAATCTCGCTTTCAGTCATATTTTCTTTATTAATAAACTGTCAAACAATCTTATGCATCTAGGTTTATATATTTCAAAGAATATCAATGAGGAGAAATGGTAAACTTTTAACATTTCTGTATCTTGTGAATGGTAATCATAGAATTAATCTTGGTCAGGCTTTTTACTGCAACCTTAACGGTAGTAATATGAAGCATACCCATCAAATTATGAAGTGCACAGTGGATAGAGTAAAAGATGTGCTGTTGTAATTTGTTTGTGAATTGGAGTCATAAGGGGAAGATATGTACTTTTAGGTGAGTGTGAGAATCACTTATGCGCATCTGTGTGAAGGCAAATAGATCAATGAATATATGGTTATGCCTTTGTGCATGCATTTCCCTTTGTGTGTGTCAAATTTATCAGGCATTGTGATCCCAGTTGTTGAGAAAATGAAGTTTTCTTTCTTAGCTTAGAGTTTCTACAACTTCAAAACAATGTACATAACAATTTTAAGAATAAATCTAGAGGCCACTCTAGAAAATAGTGAAGTAAATTGGTTTGGTTACTTCATTGTATAAAAACATAATCGTTTCAACTGAGTTAGAGAAATCATACTAGTAATTTTTAGCCTTAAGAGTTACTCTGATTTTAAACTGAGTGATTTTAAAATTCACCGTAGCAACTACTAAACTAATGAATTGTTTTTCTTTAGGTTTACTGTAAGGGTGGGTTTTTCCCGTGAACTAAGAAAATGTGACTGATCATTTCTGTTGTCGCTAAAGTGACCTTCAAAGTCACTCTGTTTTCTCTTTATTGGCTTAGAAGTAATACTTCCAAGTAAATGGGTCACGAGTTCTAATCGCGCTCCATTTAATTCTCCTTGGACTATTGGGTTGTAGCATTTTGAGCCTCCACACAATAGGTGTGGCTGGTAATTGAAACGGTTGTTACATTATTAAAATTAAATGAAGATTGCGCTGTCGAATCAAGCCTGTTTCAGGTAGACTCATCAAAAATACCTGTCACTCAGTATCTATAACCCAATAACTATATTATTATTATTATTATATCAAGTTGTTATTCATCGAAGACTGACATCAGTTGGAGGAACAAAGGAAACCTGGGAGCACTGGACAGCTGTTTCGTCTAGTATGGGACTCCTCAGCAGTGCGCACCCACGACCCACCAGCAGGGATCGAACCCGCGACCTTCAGGTTCGCGACCAGCGCGTTACCATTGAGCTAGCCACTGGGTCAGAATCCAATGCCCCATATTTCCAACTTCGTTAGCTCACGATATAGCGCAAACCACCACCCAATATCATCGTTGAGTATTTGTCCTCACGGCCATCAGGCTTGACCACGGTCACGACAAATACTCAACGATGAATTGGGTGGTGGTTTGCGCTATATCGTGAGCTAAGAAGTTGGAAATATGGAGCATTGGATTCGACCCAGTGGCTAGCTCAATGGTACGCGCTGATCGCGGAACCTGAAGGTCGCGGGTTCGATCCCTGCTGGTGGGGTCGTGGGTGCGCACTGCTGAGGAGTCCCATACTAGGACGAAACAGCTGTCCAGTGCCCCAGGTTTCCTTTGTTCCTCCACTGATGTCAGTCTTCGATGAATAACAACTTGGAATTATCATTATTATTATTATTTCTCCCTTGGCTTCCTACTGGACATACGGCTTCAGTAACACGTCGCCATTTCACTCTCCTCTCGACAGTCTTTTCAACCTGGCTCCATAACTTCCCATAAGCTTTCATTTCTTCCTCACACCATCTTCTCTATGTCATCCTCAAATCGGACACCCAATCGTCGTTTCCCATTCGGGTTCCACTAGACGACCTGGCCTGGCCTGGCCTGACCTGACCTGGCACTTGATGTTTCCAAATGCTCGTCTCAGTGTATGTCCAATCTAATCCAATCAAATCCATCTCCACTTTCTTCTTCTGCATATTTGTTGGGAGAGGGTCTTGGTTGGTTGGTTCGTTGCCTGCCAGCCAGGCAGGCAGAGTTCCTTGTTGCTTATTCTTATTATTTTGGCCATCTCATCTTCAGTTCAGTGTCGAGTGAGCGTAGGCGGCAGCTGTTGATGTGATGTATGTCTGTAGTTTGTTGGAAATGCTTTCCGTAACGCACCGTCAAGTCTCTGAACCAACACATAGAGGCATTGACTTGACTGACTTAGTGTTGAAAATCGTCATCTTGTTGTTGACGCTTTATACTGAGTGCATTGCAGTGGATCTGCACACTGATAATTTCAGGTTAATGCAGGGACGCCTTATTTGGTGTCTTTCCGATCCTGGCTTTGACGTTGTCATCTGTGCCTGTGCCACCTGTAGTAGAGTTGAAACGACGCTGCGTACATAGGTGAGAGAGGCAACTTCGTTTAGATTTCTCCCGTTGATGGTGATTGGTGCTTGCTGTTGTTGTTGGTTGGGTATCTTCGTCACCTGTGTCTTCTCTACGTTCACCTGTCAGAAGTTTCGTCTTTGCTGTCCTTCCTCTTCTCCCAACTTGTTAGTTTTCACCTGTAGATCTTCGAGTTTGTGCGACGAGATATTGGACATAAATGATCATTGGTGAAATCCAAATATTCTAGAGTCTTTTCATTTAACGAACAGTGTATGCCCATCTTGTCATAGCTGCTCACAGTTTGTTGCATGATCCAGTCCAGTCGAGTTGACCACATTGAGGCAGATGATGTGTGATAGTAGGCGGCAAGCTTGTTTTACTCCTGTCTTCACTTCAAAGGCGACACTGAGGTATCCATTGTGAATCCCTTGGCATGTAGCATTATGTAGCATATAGCTGCTGTTGAATGAGGTTGATAAAGGTTTGTGGGACTGAAATCGTAGTGTTTAAGTAGCCGCCTGTCAAATTACTTCTCGGTCGATGCCTCTATCGAAGGCGTTTTCGAAGTCGATGAAGTTGAGGTGAGGTAGGGTTGAGTTGACTGTAATTCTGTAGTGTGTTGTATGATAATGCGTAGCGTAGCGTTTCAATATGATCGGTATATGATTTGTTTTTCATGAAGGCAGCGAGCCTGTTTCGGTCGTGATTTTGAATGCATAGTATATTTTAGTCACTCCAGGATGACGCTGCCTAATATTTTCCTTAGGAAGGAGCGTGATTCCGTGCCAGTTCTTACGAACGCTTAGGTCGCCGTTTTTAGGAGTTCGACAAGTTAGCCCGTCTTCCAATCGCAGGTACCTTCCATTCCTTGCAAACCTCTTGCAGTTATTGATAATGAAAAAAAATATGAAAGTAACTGGTGAAGTTGAGGCTGACACATACGGTTTGTGAAAATTTATATAAATAAAGATATGAGAGTTTTTCATTTCAGTTTGATGTTTTTTCAAAACGGAGCAAATGAATGCAATAGTTGAAGTCATCACAGAAGAAAATAATGGTCAAACGTAACCTGAGTGATTTATTTTTAAAATACAGTCTAATTGATTGTGTTGGTTGTGTGATCTTGGTGTGATCACCGACTTCACTTAGAAAATAATACAACAAATTATGACTGAATTGATATCACCAGATGGTGGGGTGTAACTGCACCTTCAATCTTATGTCAATCCAACAACTTTCACCTACTTAATGACCTCATTCCGGCAGTACACGAACCAACCTACAGCATACTTCATATGTTGCCTTCACCTAGATTTCATCTGGACTTTTGTAACAGTGCCGTATGGCACTATTAAGGTTCATAAACCAGGTTATCCCATTAAACCATAGTTGACTTCAGAAATACCCCAACATATGAACTAGCAAAGTACTTAGCTTCAATATTGTGCCCTGTTAGGAACTGTTCAAATTCCAGACTAGTAAACTCTTACGATCTAAAACTTAAGCTTAATGACCTACACATAGAAGAGGATGAAAAAATGGTTAACTTCGATGTAACTAGTCTGTATACCAAAATACAAATCAATATGGAACTGGAGGCAGTCAGAAGTCAAGTAAATACTGACTCAGAACTTACTCACAGAACTAAGATATCGGTTGATGAGATTATATTAGGCATAGAGTTATGCCTGACCTCCACAGTCTTCAAGTTTCAGGACAAAATATACAGACAAACAGAAGCAGTAGCAATGGGATCACTAATATCCGCCATCGCAGCAGATATATTTATGGATAGTTGGAAAAACATGGCTTTACAAACGTTTAGTTCTACACCAAAAATATGGTGGCGATATGTGAATGACACATTTGCGGTGTTGAAATCGGAACTTATCGACAATATCCTCATGCATATAAACTCCGTAGTAAACGCAATCCAGTTCACTTACGAGGTGGAAAATGAACAAGGAGAATTACCTAGGTTGGATTGTATAAAAAAAACGAAGAATAGATGGTGACTTGAATACTACTGTCTACAGAAAACCAACACATTCCAACAGGTATCTAGACTTCAAAACATCCCATCTAATGTCGGTTAAGGCAGGCTTAGTCAAATGTCTAAACGATAGAGCCAGGAAACTGACCAGTCAGAGCAAGAACCTAAACATGGGATTGAAACACGTAAAAGAAGTGCTAATAGTTGATAATTATCTTCCGTAGTTTATTAAGAAATTCTTACGGACACGAAAAAAGAAAAATAACAGTCACACGAGTGCGACTAATAACGACAACACGAGTAAAAAGTTCACAGCCTCCACTGTATTACACTATAAAAAGGGTACCTCAGAAACTTTACGTAGAATCCTCAACAGAGCTGGAATTAGGGTGGCATGTAAACCTATAAACTCAGAGATAAACTTTGTCGGCTTAAGGATTCGGTAGAACCAATTCTTGTGATGCCTCAGTTTTGTATAAAACATTGTTATTGATCTGAACATTTTGACGTGTCATTTCCACATCGTTTTGGCGGTATGACTAATAGTCCATTTCTGCCTCCATTGTAATGTAATTTGCTGATTGGTTAACTTTTACTCTTACTGCGCGAATTTCTCCAATTGCAGACAAGGTCAGTTTTCATATGTATACTTATTCACGTGTTTTGGATTGACTCATTATTATATTATAGTCTCGGAGTAATACACTCTCCCATCTGCCAGCTTCGGTCTTCTCTCTATTCGTCCTGGGGTTGCAGCCAGTGTCTCTTGCGTACCAAGTTAGCTGTCAGCTAAGCGCGCGTATTCTATTCGTTTCGGAATATATACATATACCATTAGCGCTTCGAACCCATAACACCAATTAAGCGAAGTAATGTAATCTATCAAATTCCATGTAATGACTGTGAGGTCAAGAACATAGGTCAAACTAGTCGGTCGGGGTCAGTTAGAATAGCCGAACATAGGAATTTATCTAAATATAGAATAACAGACCTAAATAAGATCAATAATCTCGAAAAAAACTCGGCTATTGCTATGCATACATTAACACACAACCACACAATAGCGGTAAGATAACGCCACTGTACTTTAGTCCAACATAATTAGGTGGAGAGGAGAGATTGATTACTGAATCTTTGTTCATCGAATCAACACACAACACTTGTAATAGAAATGACGCGACACCTATACCAGAGATATGGGAAATTTCGCTACCAATAAAAACAACTCATATAAAGTGACATAACTATATAAATCAAATGTCGAAAGTAGTATGATTACATTGGTATGATTATGCGCAATAATTTGTGCTCGAAACGTCATCAAGTAAATGATACTAGATTTAATATGGAATTGGCGTCTATTTGTTGACCCCTATCACATTTACCTAATTAGTCTGTACTAGCTGGGATACTTTTACCTGAGAATCTTACCATGTCGATAATACTGACTGTAGAATAGTGTCATTTGGATAGTGAATTAGTATATCTCTTTATAGTGTTGAGAGGTACAAGGGTCACTACTTCACTTCAGCTAGTGATTACGTTCATCAGAGTGCTTTATTCATTTTGTTCGGGTATCAGCCGTTTCTCAAGTAAATTCTTCACCATAATACTTAGAAATACTCCATTTTATTTTTGATTGTTATTAAAATGTAACCTACCGAAGTATACTGTCGTCGAACAAACACTCAATAGATGGTTACACTCACTCTGTCCCGCTCAGCTCAGGTTGTTGAAATGTTCAATATTGTTTTGTTTCCGATTTCCTCACACTTTGTTCTGTTCTTTTAATCTGTCATTCTTGTTGTTTTCTTATCTACATAGATCGAAATACGAGAAGCCAACATTGGAGGAGGGTTTTCAAGAAATTCTAACGATCCCATTTATATTAGATAAAAATATGGAGCATCTTTCATTGTACTGTAAATATTTACTAGAAAAGTAATTAACGAAACTCGAGATTTCTATTCTGCTACTTTTCCTTCAATTGTATTCATCATACTTTATTTTCTTTTTAAAATACTAAGTATGATACATCTTCATATATGCTGTATTTCTACCTCCTGTATATCATTCTTGATAACTTTTAGGTACCCATTTTGAAGAAAAATAAAATTCTTATACTAACTGTTTGTTATTGTACAGTTTATGTTGGTTTCTGTTCAGTTCTGTGTTTTCCTACATGCTTACACTGTTGAGTGGATTGTGTGAATATCACACAGATTTGATGCCAGCAACTTTGATAGCGTTAATAATGTATGACAGATCACATATCGTTGTTTGGGTATTTTGGCTTTCAGTGGAGATCACAGTGAAATTACACATATGAGTCTTAGATTGTATATTTTTCAGAGTTCATTCAATGTCACTACATATAATATGTCTGTTTAAAGGTAGTAAACGTTTATCCAAAATACGATATAAATTGCCCGAGAAAAATATCCTACAGAAACCGACAGGATCATCTGTGGTTTTTAATAATGGTGGATAGTGGCTAGCAGTGGAATCCAGGATGCGCATTTCTCCCTATTTGGCACTCTCCAACTGGATGTACCTGCCTCCCAGTAAGTGATGTTGTTCCCACCCGGGGTCCAGACTCGGGACCGATCGCCTCAAACTCCAGAGCATTATCCACTACACCACCGAGCCATGATAGCCTCTTCATGTACAACGGATATAGTTTTAGTGTTATTGCTCGTATTGTACCGTCGTTAATGAAATCGAATCGACCGGTCTCTATTGGCATATGGGCTCCTGTGCTCTAATTATAGTAGTGATGGGTAGTGGCTAACAGTGGAATTCAGGATGCGCATTTCGTCCTACTTGGCACTTGTCAGTTGGCTCGGTGGTGTAGTAGATAACGCCCTGGCGTTTGAAGCCACCGGTCCCGAGTCCGAATTCCGTTGGAAACAACATCACTCACTGGGGTGTAGGTACATACAGCTGACGAGTCCCAAATAGGACGAAGTACGCACCCTGGATTCCAATGCTAGCCACTATCTATCACTACTATAATTGGAACACAGGTAATATCGAGGCATCTGCACAGAAGCCTATATACCAATAGAGACCGATCGATTCGATCCAATTAACGACAGTATAATATAAAAACAATTATACTATCTTTGCTTTCTATTGAAATACATATCAGCACTTAGAGCTCTTTTTGTTAGGGGTGCCTAATCCGTAAGAAAACTTATGTATATATTATCATTGTAGAATTTAAACCTTATTTTTGTGCCATGCGACGCTACTTATTTTACCGCAGTTTATGATGCTAAACGCTGATTGGTCCATTTCACACTTTTAATGTGCTGTTTGTTTTTCCCTAACCAAGACCATCTAAGTATTTATAAACGGCTGAGTTTTCAGCTATGACATTATTCGGTTGAAGTAAATATACTTTCAACCCCATCGTCTTCTGGTGTTAGCTGAATATCAAGTTGCAAATCTAGCGTTCTATTGTTAATCGTATCACGTCGGAGCATTGTGTCGCTAAATATACCGTGAATCATCTCACCTTTCTAAATGCTTGTTTCTGGTCAATATTCTCATTTATTTATTAACACAAGAGCAATTTTGTTTTGCTGTTTTCAGATAACATTAGATTAACTCTATTCCAGGTACTTTATTCACAAAAATGTGAGTATGATGATAGAACTTCGGAAACCTTTGATTTAAAAACTTGTTTTTGGCAGTATATGCATTTTTATACAGGAATCATTTCATGGTAAACTTTATGGCATTGACAGTATGTGATGCATATCCGGATGATCATGAAACCTCAGTGAAGCAGCGCTTTCTAACGAATAACTCTTAATATCCGATACTAGAAAGCAAAATAATGTGTCCTTTATGTTTTGAAATATGCTTAATACCACTATTCCCACTGTAAACAACTTACATTGCCATAAATCTTTGAAAAGCGCTTATGTGTAGCTTCCAAAAATGGCTACAGACTGTAATCCATTTTGACAGTATGCCTTCTACCCAAAGACCTAATGCTATGCTTACATCTTCAAGGTGGCGAGAACTGTCGAAGGAGTCTTCAGGTACTTAGATTAGGTTTCATGGGTTCATCACATTGATTGTAGAGCTTTGACTGGTGACGATTACTGTTGGATTCAGCAAAACATTTGAGTATTGAAAGCTTTTGCATATAGTTTCGAGTACAGTTTCAGGATATATATATATATATATATATATATAAGGGTTACTCTGGGAACCTGATCTAAAAGGCTCTGTCGTATATTTAACGGAGAAATGTGAAGGATGATAGGACGACAAAGAAGTAAAAGGTTGATATTTAGAAAGGACTTCAGTGCTGACAGAAACATGAGGGTGATTAATACTTCTCATATGTGCACACCTTGGAAAGTCACTTCTTTTCAAGGGGCTTGAGAGTGAGTTAGTAAGGATGGTGTCATTGACCTGGAAGCATTACAACATAACAGAAGGAATGTGCTTGAATTTGGTTGCAAATGGTGTTGTTAGAGGTCCTTGAGTTGATATTGTTATGCTCTTACTTAAAAATACGTTTACCGCCCATCGTTCTCACCATGGCGAGTAGAAAGATACGTTATTTTTGAAGCCAACTTTTTCTAATCCATCGTTCTGATACAGGATTTCGAGTTATCCCTTATGTCTTTTTAATCAGATCCCCACCATTACATAAGTTGTCTACTCCATGGGGTTAGCTACTTTTACCACTGCCTAAGTAACTAACCTTTTTGACGTAGAAAAATCTCAAGAAATAGTGATTTCAGCCATCGGAGCTCGTCGGACCATTGAAATATGTCAGTTTGTTCACCACGTCAAGGTAACAGCAATCACTCTGAACCAGACAGCAAACAACTGAGTTCAAAAAAGCCATAGTGAAACAATTCATTAGTGAGACTATTTGAGAATACTCATACTATTGATGCAGTGATGTTTCGAATCTTGTTGCAATCCAGATTTTCATTTCCCTATCAACCCCTATATCAATAATACCATTCTGCCAAATCACAGCTATTTCAAATAGTCTCATCAGTAATCTGTTCAATACTCCTCTTTAATCCAGCCCTGTTTGGACTAGGATGAAAAGATTTGACAGAGCAACTAGTGGGATAAAGGTAAACAGATGGTTACATATCATGCGTTCGCACGAAAGCCAGGTGAAAGCCTCAGTGATCGAAGTGAAATTTGTACCAAGCTATCAGGTGAGCAGGTAATCTGAAGGTCGTTGGTTCGACCCTGCTTCTACAACTCATGTTTTCACTTCACTTTCGGGTGAAGTAAATTAATTCAAGTACTTTTAAGTAACAACTGACCTTCACCTTCTGGATGTTGAGCTGTTCTAAAACTGCATTCATTTATTATCAATAGTAAAATTTAATTTCCCACCAAGTCTCTTTATTGATGGGTTAGTGATTAAAGCAAAAGCGAAGAGTTCGGTTGCAGCAGTATCCAGACCAGTGGCTTACGAATTCAAATCGTGAAGCGATTCAGCTTCTCTTTTCTACTTACTAATACTTGTCTTACACGTAACTAGCCTATCTACAACAAACATTTTGAGGCACTTAAACGGCCACCCCAGAAACTATTGGAGAAACCAGTCAGATTTCCGTATTTCATCTGGGAATGTATTTTTTTCGAGAAACAGAAAAGCCTAACTGGTTATCTTACCAGTCGTTTGGGTGCCATTTAAGGTCACTCATAATCCTGGAGACTTATTTATTATGCTTTATCCATTCATCTTCAGCCATGCACTTTGTCCAAAGCTGATCATAACTCTATGCTCGTAATCAAGACATGGTACATCTTCATTTTTCACAATATGGCGTGCTCAGTATTTTTCGAAAATACATCGAAAGGCTCAAAAAGAGGAATGACTCTAAAGTCCATCCCAGCAACTAATGAAATAGCTTTAGAGGCAGCCTCTGTAATAACCGACTAGGTTTCTTCATTATGTCTGCAAAGGTATTTTTTATATGAAGTGAAAAAACCTAATTGGTTGTTGGAATTAGTTGCTAGAATGATCTTTCGTCACTCAAAAAGTTTAGATGTTTTTTTCGTGTTGCTTTTCCTGATCTGGATAGTTGAATCATGGAATGATTTTAAAGGCCACCTTAGTAATAACTGAAATAACCAATCAAACTTCTCTATTTCGTGAAATTTTACCTTTCCAGACAAAATGAAAAAACCCAATTGGTTGTTTCGATCGTTGCCAGGGTGGCCTATAAACTTGCCCTGAATCATGAGGCTTTCATTGCCTAACCGTACATCTTATAATTCAAGTTGCTTTAGTTACAGGATAACCAGCGCACCAATCCAAATCCAGCTGAGATAGCCCTATCAACAATAAATCAGTTAGCGCTACCTACATTTAAAGGTTTTGCATATAAAACCAACATGTTTTTGTGTTCCAGAATGACATCGCCACATTAAGCTGGTAGATTCAACTTAGTAACTAGAATACGTTAGAAAAAGTTATTTACCAAGACCATCTGTTCATATCAGAATGCTGATTAAATTCGAAAGAGAATGCAAGTTGCGGAAATCTTAAAACTATCTGTCTCTGAATTACTAACTCATTACTTTACCAACTAAGTTACCAAGCTCAACTGCTAACCAGCTGTCAGATTTTATTTTTAGTCATGAAAGAATGACTTTAATGGCCAACCCTAGGAACTGCTGAGATAACCAATTACGTCCCTCTATTTCGCAAAAAAACTGCATCTATGAATTGAATATCGAAACCTCATTGGTTGTTCCAGCAGTTGTCCGGTTGGTCTTAAAGTCACCTGAACACAAAATGCAGATACGGGAGTGACTTTAAAGGCCATCCTGGCAACAATCGAAATAGTCAATTAGGTTACTTCATTTTGGTTGGGAAAGCAGATTTTTATGAAATGGAGAGGTCGAAGTGGTCATTTCACTTGTTGCTAGGGTGGCCTTTAAAGTCACCCCTGAAGGGCCCAGATACCAGTTTTTGCTTTCGTTCTAATCATTACTTCTGAAATAAATATCAGTCAATTATAAATTCATTCCAAGTTTCTGAGGTAGTTGTACTTTCAGGTTAGAGGTGTCTATTCTTAGATGAATCCAGTCTTGTGAAGACATGAATAGCACAAATTGATTCATCTCTTTAAAAGTGGTTTTCCAAAATTCTAGAGCATGTTCTTTCATCCTAGTTTAGCCAGCAAATTGATGTCTAAATTATGTAGGGTTGACTACAGATCTACAATACTACAGGATAATTCAACAATAGACTTGATTTATGAAAAAGACTTGTAAAGTATTTCATATTCCACTTTTTTGGTTTATTCTAAGGATAATATTAAGCTGAAGCATTATAGGTTTATGTGCAATTTCTAGTTTTCTGATTTCTTTCACTTTTATACTGATGGTCTTTACCGAAATAAGTATTCATTCAATAATTACGTTTTTCCGAAAGTATTCAATCATTTAGACAGTATGATTTCTCATTGTTAACTTTACTGCGCAAAAAAGGATGATGAATATGCAAAGTAAAGGGTTAATATTGATATTTATCGCAACCGAATAGACTTTTTGACTTCAAGCTGGTATACATCATGGACTAACATCAGTTGGAGGAACATTGGGAACCTTGGAGCAGTGGACAGCTATTTCGTCCTAATATGGGACTCCTTGGTAATGCGCAGCCATGACCCCGCCAGGGTTCGAGCCCGCGGCCTTCAGATTCCGTGACCAGTACGTTACCACTGAGCCACTGGGTGGGGGTCCAGTGGCCCATATTTCCTACTTCTGTCAGTTCACGATAAAACGCGACCTATATCCAATGTGGTCGTTGTGTATCTGTCCTCAAATCCAACTTGGTTGGCCCCACGGGTCGACTTCTCATTGGAACTTCAGGAATCACCTCTCAATCCCTGATGGGGTCATCGATGCACACTGCTGAAGAGTCTCATACTAGGATGAAACAACTGTCCATTGCTCTCAGGTTTCTAAGTTTCTCCAACTGATGTCACTCCATGGTGTATACCAACTTAAAACCAACAAATAAATCCCCACAAACCTCGAGATTTTCAAACTGCCTAACTTCAAATCGGGGAAGTTTTCCATTGGCAACCACTAACTGAACGCAATGCATTGCGATCACTGATAGGAATTATTTTGAACAAATAGAATTTATTGATCTGCAATCAGTCACGGTGATCTATGGAGTTTACTGACCAAAGAGGTGTTAACACTGAATAGACGCTTTCTTATCTTGAAGCGAATATATCGAATAGGTAGCTGGATAAATTCAGTTCATAGCATATTTACTGAACCCCATCCAGTTAGCCTAGACGAATCAAATCAGTAGTCACTTAGCTCATGGCCTGATACCACATCTTACTCTGACTAACATAGATCACTCACTACCCACATCATCATCATGTTGCATTTGGAAAAAAATCGTACGAAAATAAGATCGGTCCAGTCAGAAGTCACTGAATGTTAGTATTAGTTGTGAAGGATGTTATCAACTTGTTAGGTGTAGTTCTGTGGGATCATAGTAATAATAATGATAATTAGTATCTTTTAAGGGGTCTCCTGTGATCCTGCCTAGTTGGTCTTTGAGACTCCTTTGATGTTACAGTTTACAAGGAATATCAACGTCAGCTAAGCGGTTTCAAATTATTTGTAAATTACTCATTTTTTTGTTCTAATCCATTAAATTGAGATCATATCGATCTGGAAATTTTGGCTGTGTTAATCGGCTAGTAAATTCTACTGGATAATACTAATGGTTCCTATCTTTTCATAATCACATACTACTTACCAGACCGAGTTAATAGTCTCTTCTAGCATATGTGTTCTACCTTGCCTCCTACTTGAAAGTCCTTGAGTGCATGTACTTACTACGCAAACTAGTTTTAGTAGTCTTACTGAGTTTCAAAGTTAACATCGATCACTCCTAACAGAGTGTTATTCATGGAACTATTGGACCACATTAGCTACCTCGAAATAGCAATTAATTCTTCTCCAGAGTTGGGTAGTATGTTTTAGTTTGAGAATTATTATAATAAGGATAATAATACTCACTGAAACGTTGACTGGTCTACGTGGAAAAAAGAGATTCACACCAAATTTTACCCTGACAATCTGCCAAAATGGAAATCGAATTTAGTACCGTTGTATTCTTTGAAGTGGCTCATGTTAAGAATTGAGAATGATAAGTTCAGTCTTTCAACGAGAAAACAGGAAACTAGAAGTTAGAAACTGCGTTTTAAATGGATATCCTAGTACTCGGTTGCGGAAAAAGTTAGTGTGTTGTGAAATCGGCAGATCTTCCGTTTATTTTACAGTTTACCGGTCCATTGAAATCATTTCATCAAGTTCTTTCCCTTTATCGAACTGAATGTATCTAGAATAGAAGCTACCACAGAATAATATTACCATATTAAGACTGTTAATCCACCCCAATTATTGACCTCGCTACATTTATGTTACTTAGTCAGAGTTAGTCGATCTACGTACCTCAGTTACATGAATATGTTTCATCCAGATAACGGCCACAACCATAAAATAGAGAACCAGTATTTAGATTACTTTGATGTGAATAAAAAAGAGCTATCGGTCAGCTTAATTGTGTCTTAACTAATCAAAGGTACTGTACAAAGTACTTAATAATCTGAGATAACCTTAGTTGTTGGTAAAAGTATCTGTATATAAGAGGACTATTATTAAGGATTGAAGGTAAACTGAGCTTGGTAGCAATGACGGATAGTGGCTAGCAGTGGAATCCAGGACACGTATTTCATCCCTTTTAGGACTCGTCAGTTAAATGCACCTACCTCCCAGTGAATGATGTTGTTCCCATTAAGAACTGGACGATCAAGCACAATGTTGCTAACTCAGTGCTTAACCAATTGAAATACATGACACAAGATTGTTAACCGATTTCTGATTTCATTTGAATGAAATCAAAAATTGTTATTTATTGATATTTGTAATTACCGTTCCTATACTGGATGGAATTCCTCGACATCCGTTCACAGGTGGGCCGTTATGTGGATACCTCAGTACTACCTAAATATTCATTATCTGTGGTTTACTTTGTGGATGATAGTGGAATCTATGACACCCGTTTTGTCCCATTGGGAACTCGTCATTTGAATCTATCCGCACTCTATTGAGTGATCGTGTCCCCATTGCGACTCGAACCCAGTGTGCCTATCGCTTCAAACGCCACAGTACTATCTACTGAGGTATGAGATCCACCTGAGTGACCCAGTGGATAACTACATAACTCACGGGGGTGTGGATACATCCATCTGACAAGTCCCAAATAGGACAAAACGCTTATCTGGGATTCAACTACCAGCCACCAAGCCAACAGAAAGTGCAAAAATATCTGAAGATTACAGAATATATGTCCAGTATTATGTCTTGTTAATTCCACATGTTAGACCGCATACTCGAAATCACATTTTACTTAGTACTTGATACTACTAACTCTTTATGATGAAATTGTCACTCATCGCAAAATCCCGACTGAATGAATATCAACAAACCAAGTTGTTAATGATCTGACTGTCTCTGTTTATGAAATAAATAACCACTTATATAGAAAAAATGAAATTGAGATAATATATAATGATGAATCTTATCTATCAGACAGTTGCAAACTAATCAAGAATGAGAAGTCGAGATGAGCAGTTAAGTAATATTTATGAATTGATTTAAGGTTGGCCTGGTAATTTGATTTCACTGATTTCCATGCCTTCTTTCTACTTCTTTTCATAGGAGAATTCAAATTCCTTTTCAGTTGATCAACCACTAGCTTCATCAACTCAACAACCTAACTCTAATGTGAATAGTAATAGTATCCTTGGAAGTTTTTATGAGACAAAAGAATGGTATTTAAAAGGTTTTAGTCGTTATTGTGAAAAACAAATTCAGCAACAGAAACAACAGGAGATCAATCATGAAAACATAAAGATCAAAATATTAATATAATATCCATTAACCGACAAGATGTAATCATGGAGGAACAACAATCACAACAAACCAAATGGGAAACATGGACAGATGAACGTGAAATTAAACTGATGATACGTTTAGCTGGTTTTGGACATTTCTGTATTCTACGTGGTAAAATGATACTTGAATCATATTTTTTAATTCTGTCAAAAAAATGGATGAAAGCTGTTATTGTTGGTAAGATTTACTGGAAAAAAAATTCCTTCATATGCATATATTACATAGTCTTAGCTGGAAGAAACTCATTATTTAGTCTTACATAAGGCTAGTCAATATTCTAGCCGCAATAATATTGAAATATCCTACCAAAAATCCCATAATATGATGATATTCACATTGTTGACTACACTGCTACTATTCCATACTTATTACCATGTTCAAGCCGTCATCCGGAAAGTAATCGACTAATTCCCTACAATTCAAAAGCCATTTGAGTGAACAAAGAATATTCTTTTCGATAACTTATTCTTCTTCAGATCCTACAGCTATATACACATACTGGGGAATTATACATCAGCAGTATTGAGATTTGTCTTATCAGTTTGTTAGTAATATTTGTTATACAGTTGAGGAACTCACCTGAGAATAGTAGCGTATGAACGTTTATAATAAAATCAATTTTTACCAGGACTCAATTCAAAATAGGCGGCGGGGATGGGATCAAAAATGGACTCTTCGAAGCTGGACAAATTTCTCGAACTACAAATGTAGATTATCGAGTTAATAACTCAGTCCAGAGTTTCTGCAGTTGACTCATCGAATCCTATGCAAGAACCAACCCTAACGTTGAATGATATCGTTGCTGAATATCAACGACTGCAACGGGATACAAGTTCAGTCCAATCCGGATGCCAGGTTGATCATAAAGTGCATGCGGTTCGCCAGAAATCTAATTCTTCTGCATCCTTTTCTGGCCAAAAGACCCCTTGTTCTCCGTCTCCTGTTCGTCATCCCGGCAGCTCATGCAATACCAAAAGAAACACGAAGAATACCCCTACGTCCTCCTGCTGGCATTGTGGTGCATGGCATTTCGTTTAATCTTGTCCTTCCGTCCACATGCCATGTCCTGGTCTGTAGTCTCGAACGTAGACGGAGTCTCCTTTGTTAAAATGTGATCCCACCGTTTGCGTTGTCTGTGCACGACGTGATGGTAGCATTGCGTGATGTGGCGTACGTAGCTTCCTTCCCATTAAAACTTCTGCAGGAGACTTGCGATCTGGTAGGGCGTCATTTGGCGTTGAGCGATAAATGAATAGAAACTGTTTTACGACATCCGTGTCTCCTCTTCCTCCTTCTGCTTTAAGGAGAGCTCGCTTAAACGTATCCACAAATCTTTCTTTCTGGCCATTGGATTACGGATGGTATGGTGGTGTACGAATGTGATGGATTGCATTCACACTGCAAAACTCTGCAAAGTTGTGGGAGGTGAATTGTGACCCATTATGTGAAACAATGGTATCGGGCAACCCATGGCAGATAAAAATATTTTTAAGAGCTGCGACTGTTCGGCGTGATAATACGGACGATACAGCGACGATCTCCGGCCACTTGGAATAAGCATCAACAACGATCAGATAGTAGGTTCCATGTAATGGACCTGTGAAATCGATATGAATTCTTCGTTAATACGTTAAAGTGTTCATATCAATAAAAATGTTTGATATAAAACTGGGACATCACAACACTTAACGATTATACTTTGTAGGTAATGCTATAAGGTGATAGTTTAATAAAACAATAGAAAGGTGTTTATGACAATTTGACTAAATAAACTAAGAAGGATAATTTGAAGAATAATACCTTGATAGAATATTACTCATATTAGGGGACAAAATGGGTTCAGGAAATTTGTTAAAATTATTCCAGATTCTAGGGGAGAAGGGAATTAGATTATTTGGGGGAGGATGCTAACGAATTTATGCTTCCTGAATCAAGCCACGGTAGTTGTAGAGGTAACATTTGCTTCTGTGAAACACAAAATTCCGGTCGTTTGATCCTGATTGCTACCGCTTCTACAGTTTGAAGGATCCTGAGCAGGGTATCTTTTGGCAAGTTGGTGGGAACGCGGTACAGACCGGAAAACGACTCATTTATATCCACTTTATAGTTTGTGTTAGCCAAGTGTACTAATATGTAGCTGGTAACTGTCTTTATCATACCTTTACTTAACCATGCTGGGGGATGTTCGCAAGCACGGAAAATTAAATTCGTAGACCAGCGGTTGACATAACTGGCTTGACAGGAGAAGTTGAACTGATGAACACAAAAGGAAATGACCACTCTAGACAATTCATTTTCCAGTTTCGGTGTCACCACTGGGGGTGTTCACCAGCATTAAACGTTCTTTGAATTGATCTGAGTAGTTTGTGAGCGCATCATCTCTAAGTTGTACCCAAATGTATAGCAGTTTTCCGCTAGCTGTTGGGAAATTCTTTCTTACCATTTTCGTATTCATATGTTTTTTTATTCATTTATCAGGATAGACACTTTTTTTTAGTGTGTTGTTCAAAGTTGCCCGGTCCTCCTCAACTGTATCTTTCCAACATATAGCTGTTATTCTATAACTTGAGGCTTTTGCTAAATTTCTTTCATACCGAAGGTGGACGAAGCTGAGAAAATGCATATATTGAGCCGTCCATGTACTTTTCTGAAACAAATTCCGCTTTATCAACCCATCTTTTTGTCTTCAGTAAATAACACGAAGAAAAGCTATCTAGCCTTGTGATTCTTTTTCACGTGTAAACTTCATCACTGGGTGTACTGCGTTGAGTCTGCTGAGTATCTTTGATCTGTCCGTGTTGTTTTCGCTCAGGGTGAATGTATCACCCATATATTGACAGTGAAACGAAAATTCCCTGACATATCGTTCAATAAATCACTCTCTAATTTCTATAGGAAAAGGTCCACTAATATGTGACCCAATGGCGAGCCAATTACTACTCGATTTTACTTGTCTATATAGTTTACTGTTAAATTTAGAGTTAACGTCATCGTACATTTGAGTAATAACCCTCTGACGACATCTATCGGGATTCCAACACGAATAGACTTTTCTTTCAACTGTTCACTTATCTAGTTGACTGTGTCTAGAAGAGGACAATTGGTGAATAGAGATGTTACATCCAATAACATCATAGTTCTATTCATCTTATTTGCATCCTTAATTCTCTTTATAAATTCAGATACTCACATACTATGTTTTACTACAGCACAACCAGTGGACAGACTGTAAAAAGACATACGGAGCAAAGTCAAACAACTAAAATGTTACTTTTTAATACACAAAGCCTACATTAGTTCTGACTAGCTGTAACTGTTAAGTTCTCTATGCTTACGAGTCAGTTTATGAATTTAGTCATAGTGACTTTTAACAGGTTGCTAAAACTGGACACTTCTATCCAGTTATTATTGATCCAAGATGTCGGTTTTCGTTTTCCGGTAGTCATTAATAACTAAGTTGTATCATCAAATCAGCTAGTTAATGTAAGGCATATTTATTATCATTTTGATTATTTGTGATGGCTGTGGTTTGGCAGACTAGAATATATACTGAGTGGTGACTGAAGGTGAAACGAAAATTTGGAGCACTGGCGGATTCGAACCAACGACCACCAGGTGTCCGGCTGGATGTTTCACCTTCATTCATCAGCCGGTATCAACACTAGTCTGCCAAGCCACATCTGCTATCACAGATAGTCAAATGATAATCAATGTTACGCTCCCCCCCCCTGAAATCCAGTTAGATTTGGATTGGAATAAGAAGTCCTGACTAGGCAGCCAATATGAGTACGATCAAGCGGTAGTAACACGTCACGAATTCACATGGTAGTCGAGCAAACCCCACGGTAATTGAAGTGGAATAAAAAAACCTGGTAATCAGTCAGACCTTGTAGTTCAATTGGCAGAGCATCGGGCTGGAAACTCGGCGGTTGCTAGTCCAAATTTTCAAATTTCAATCATCATCCAGTATATGTATATTTCTCATTTAATTAGCTACTGCTCACTTAAGCGTAAACGTGCAGTTTTGGCTAGGATACAACACCAATTCACCGTTTATTTGATTGCAGTTTAGAAGTGTATAAGTGATTGATTGATAGACAGACAGATCAAACTAGAAACGTATACAGTAGTGAGTCAGTTGAAGTTGTCGCACATTTTAGCAGCACGGAAAGAAACTTGAACAGAAAAAAAAGCAAATCAGATCAGAAAAATACAGATGAAACAAGAATAAATAATAAAGAGTTCATAAAACATTCAGAATTTTGAGGGTGACAAAAAGTAAACAAGCCTGCTTCAATATGATCAATTTTAAAGCATATTTTCTAAACAGTTTTCAAACTTCAAGTCCTAACATTTTCATTACTCTGGTCAGCCACAGGTCAAACATACAGTTGCTGATCCTCTATCTGCAGATCTAGTTTAAACCTCTTCTACCCAACACTGCAACCTCGCCTGGTTAACTAGTTTACTAGTTACTAGCCGGTCCTAAGCCCGGGTAAAGAGGGAAGGTTGGGCATAGGGCTAGCAACCCTACCCCGTAAAACAAATCTAACCGCTAAAGAAACTTCAAAGCACAAACAAAATATAAAAAATGAAAACAAACTTATTCCCCGCTGGAATCGGAGAGGCGAAATGACGCCAGTTGGTGAAAGCCTTCGGGAAGCCAATTGGCCGATGTGTCTTCTCTCGATGAAAGCGAAAGTAAACGTGGGGACATGGAATGTCCGCACGATGTTTGAACCCAGTAAGGCAGCCCAGATTGCAAAGGAGATGAGAAGGTATAACATCGAAGTGCTTGGGATTTGCGAAAGCAGATGGAATGGGAGTGGACTCTCCAAACTGTCAACTGGAGAATCAATAATCTACTCCGGTCACCCAGACGCCAACCACGAGCACACTGAGGGAGTGGCTATCATGATGTCCTCAAGAGCATCGAAGGCTCTCATGCAGTGGGAACCAATCTCCTCCAGGATCATGACAGCAAGATTCAACTCAAAAGGAAGAAAGGTCACAATCATACAATGTTATGCACCTACAAATAATGCAGAGCAAGAGAAAAAGGAGGAATTCTACAGACAACTTCAATCAACACTGGACAAGACGTCAGTTGGCGATATCAAAATTCTAATGGGCGACATGAATGCCAAACTGGGAGGGGACAACACGGGAAGAGAACTAACCATGGGTCGAGAGGCACTAGGTGAAATGAATGAGAATGGAGAATTGTTTGCAGAATTCTGCGCATTCAACGATTTGGTGATTGGAGGCAGTGTGTTCAGGCACAAAGATATCCACAAAGCGACATGGATTTCACCAGATGGACACACTAAAAATCAAATCGACTTTATCTCAATCTCAAGAAAATGGAGACGCAGTCTACTTAACACAAGGTCAAGAAGAGGAGCAGATGTAGGTTCAGACCACTACCTAGTGCAAGGAACCTTCCAAATCAAGTTAAAAGCCTTCAAGGAAGCTGGTGATAGACCTCAACCCAAGTACAACACTCGGAAACTGAAGGATGAAACTACAAAGGAGATCTTCAAGGCAGCCATCAAGACAAAATGGGAGACGTCGAGGGACATCCCTGAAGAAACCTGTGTGGAAGAACACTGGAAGTCTTTGAAAGCTATGTGGAAAGAAACCTGCACAACAGTATTAGGAAGGAAGAAGAAAGAAGACAAGGAATGGATCTCGACGGATACCTGGAAGCTGATAGAGGAGAGGAGGATGGTGAAGCAGAAGATAAACCAGTGCAAGGATGCTCAACGACAAGAGGAACTGAGCACAATGTATAAAACACTGGACAAAGAAGTGAAGAAGAGTGCACGCAAAGACAAAAGACACTTCTACGAAACACTGGCAAGTGAAGCAGAACAGGCTGCAGGTAAGAGAGACCTGACGACATTGTATCAAATAACCAGGTTGCTATCAGGGAAGAGACCAACACAGATGAAACCAATAAAAGATGAAGAAGGAAATTTAATTACGAAAGAAGAGAAACAGAGGAAACGATGGGCCGACCACTTCAAGAAGCTCTTGAATCGACCACCACCTGCACTTCGTCCAGAAATACCACCTGCAGCCGCTGAACTACAAGTGAACATTAATCCCCCAACGAAAATGGAAGTCCTGAACGCCATAAAGCTACTGAAATGCGGGAAAGCAGCAGGACCAGATGGAATACCGCCAGAAGCACTGAAAACAGATGCAGAGACAACAGCGGCCATGCTCACACCACTATTGCAGAAGGTGTGGAAGGAAGAGAAGGTACCTGACGATTGGAAGAAGGGTTACCTTGTCAAACTGCCGAAGAAGGGAGACCTCAGTGCTTGCAAGAACTGGCGCGGAATCACTCTCCTGTCCACCCCAAGTAAAATATTAAGCCGCATCATCCTGGAGAGGCTTAAAGATGCACTGGATTCAAAACTACGACCGGAACAGGCAGGCTTCAGGAAGTACAAATCATGTGCAGACCAAATTGCAACGCTTCGTATCATCATAGAACAGAGCATAGAATGGCAATCACCTCTCCACCTCAACTTCATCGACTTTGAGAAGGCCTTTGACAGCGTCGACCGAGAAGTAATTTGGAAACTGCTTCAATACTACGGAGTACCGCAAACCTTTATCCGCCTCATTCAACAACTATATGAAGATGCTACATGCCAAGTAATCCACAATGGGAAGCTCAGTGATGCCTTTGAAGTGAAGACAGGAGTGAAACAAGGTTGCCTACTATCCCCCATGATATTCTTGATTGTGGTGGACTGGATCATGCAGCAAACAGTAGGCAGCGAGAAGAGGGGGATACACTGGACGACGGAAAAGAACCTAGAAGACTTGGATTTCGCCGATGACTTATGCCTAATGTCACATAAACTTGAAGATCTGCAGGCAAAAACTAACAAGTTGATAGAAGAGGCAGCGAAGACGGGACTTCAGGTGAATATAGAGAAGACAGAAGTGATGAAGATACCGCACCACCACCATCAACAACAACAACAACAAACTCCAATCACCGTCAACGGGAGAAACTTAAAGGAAGTAACCTCCTTCACTTATCTAGGAAGCACTGTTTCAACTACAGGCGGGACGGACGAGGACGTCAAAGTCAGAATCGGAAAAGCAAGACAGGCGTTCATTAGCCTGAAACCAGTGTGGAGATCTTCTGCACTCAGCATGCGGAACAAGATACGGATTTTCAACACCAACGTAAAGTCAGTGCTCTTGTATGGCTCAGAGACTTGGCGCGTCACGAAAGGTATTTCCAATAAACTACAGACATTCATCAACAACTGCTTACGCTCGCTGCTGAAGATCAGATGGCCAGAAAAAATAAGCAACAAGGAACTCTGGGAACGAACCAACCAAGAACCTATCACGCAACAAATATGCAGGAAGAAGTGGAGATGGATTGGCCATGCACTGAGAAGGCCGACGGAGGACATCACGCGTCAGGCCCTCGAGTGGAATCCCCATGGGAAGCGACGAGTTGGACGTCCGAGGGTGACATGGAGGAGGTCGTGCGAGCAGGAAATGAGAGCTTCTGGGCTGTCGTGGGACCAGGTTCAAAAGATCTCAGAGAACAGAGGTCACTGGAGGCGTGCTGCTGAAGCCCTATGTTCCACTAGGAACCCAAGGGACTAATAATAATAATAATAATACCCAACACTGCACATCTGAAGGGATGATGGATCAGTATGTATAACACATATTCTTGCTGTTTAATGTACCTTTATAGTGTCAATTAATGCAGAAATAACGCTTTATATTATCCTATCATTCTTTTATGCTTTATAGGTGGAGATGAAGTTATGATCTTACTGAAACAATCCAGTATAACAAAACGTTTCAGGTTGACATTTTTCAATGAATCAGATGCAAAAAACTTTTTTGAAAATTTGTCAAAATTTGCTGCTACTAACAGTCATACTGTAAATAATACTGATGGTAATAATAGTGAAGAATTAATCAATAATAATGATACTACAGAAACTATTCTCAACTCAATGCTAAGCAATCAAACATGCCTACCTGAGAGTTGGTCAACTGAATGGCCAACTCAAAGTTTAGAAGGTCTTATCCGTTTATGTTTGATTGATCCAAATTTTCCAGGATTTGTTAATCATATTGATTATATTATGAAAAAGTTTACAACTACTATCGATGATCTATCAAATCGTGATAAAATGTCATCACAGTGAAACTTGTTGAGAAAATTTGTCATCTAAAGTTTTGTTATGCGTTTTTATAATAAATAAACAAAATGTATTTGACAGTTTTGGTTTTAAGGACTTTAGTGCTATTGCTTGTATGACACTGTTGTTGATTGGACAGAATTGATCAGTCTCTGTTGGCATATGGGCTCCTGTGCAGATACCTCGAAACTGCTTGTGTTTTAATTATATATAGTATTGATGATGGACAGTGGCTAGCAGTGGGATCCAGGATGCTCATTTTGTCCTATTTGGGACTGGTCAGCTGGATGTACCTGCCACCTAGTGAGTGATGTTGTTCTCACTGGGACTCGGACTCGGGAGCGACCGCTTCAAACGCCGGAACGTTGTCTACTACACCACTAAGCCACGATAGTCACTTCTTGTGCATAATTAAAACACAGGCAGTATCGAGGCATCAGCACAGGAGCCCATATGCCAACAGAGACTGATCGATTCGGTCAAGTTAAAGACAGTGTAATACAAGCAATAATACTAAAACTGTACCCATCGCACAAGAAGTGGCTATTGTGGCTTGGTAGTGTAGTAGACAACGTTCTGGCGTTTGAAGCGGTCGCTCCCGAGTGCGAGTCCCGGTGGGAACAACATCACTCACTGGGTGGCAGGTACATCCAGGTGACCAGTCCCAAATTGGACGAAATGAACATCCTGGATTCCACTGCTAGCCACTGCCCATCATTACTATATATTTAAGGACTTTGTTTGAATTTTTCAGTGGTTAGCAATGTTTTTAAAGGTACTATACTAATGTGTACTACTTCTGAGCAGTGAGATATTTTTTTCGAACAATTTCATTGGTTCTGTATAGTGAGTTTGGAATGAAATATAAAACTGAGGTTTCGTCCTTCTTGGGACTCTTCATATAGGTGTAACTACATTTCCATGTCAGTGTTTTTATTGAGACTTGTAACCATCATCCATTAGTTTCACATCACAAAGGTTACACAATCACGAGAGATAAATCTTGTGAAATAGAGATCTCAGAGTTGTGATTTATTCCTAAATGAAAAATTTGATTATCATACTGTTTTTCTGGAGAATAGCATAAGTTGTGTCTAGTGTATGTTAGGCTTCTGTTTGTTGCTTGGCAAATAACACTAAAAAAAACTAAGAGGATTTGAATAGGTCCGTGTAATTATATCAGAAGCCATTAAAATATTTTGCTGTTTCGGGTTTCAACTCTTCAGAAAATTAAAGAACACTGGGAGATTAGCATTATAAACCATGGAAAAGATATGTAAATCTAGAATGGTATATTTATTGCATCTTAATCTTCAACTCTATTCGAACACCAAATTTTGACGTGGCCAGTTAGCCTATTACACATGAATGAGATAGATGATGGCAACACAAAAGATCAGTATTCTTTGAGACTAAATCATACATTGAGATAGATCGTCGTTCAGTACTCTTAGTATATTCTAGGCCCGTTTTCCTGCCTAGAAGCTTAATATGTTACCTATAACCCTAGACAACACTTACTGACTCCTTCCATTCACCTCAGATGAAATATGTTTTAAAGATGTCAGTGATAATGTACTATTCGGTGGTTCTCTTATGTCTGCATTAGACGCTTGTTCCTGAAATGCATATGGGAAACATAACTCTTGATTCACAATAAGAAAACTAAGCGATATTCAAAATGAATTCATGCTCATGTGCTCATACGTTCTCTGAGCTGCGTTGTTTAGTCGTGGAGTTTTCATCGCCTTGCTAGATGACATCATCAGCACTAACTTCAATATGAAGTAAGCTGTCAATATCTCTCCGTGACTGATTTAGTAGCTTGCCCTGATCAACTGGTTTGTGATTGGTTGTTTCTTTTGATTGTTGTGTCATTGATCGTATAGACTTTCATGTTGGCTGTTCCTCTGCTTCACCTCTGACCTTTCTGTCGTTTATCATTTTTCCTATTAGGTGATAGAATGGGTCTGTGTCTATACATCTGTTGGTTGCTGACTGACTGATCTGAATGCCAAACTTCTAGGGATTCTCTGATATTCTTTATGTTTCCTCTCTCCATCCAAATTGAATTAATGTCCATAGTTGTTATCCACGTGTATTGAGATGAGTGATGAAATGTCGTGACGTTTAGTAGCCAATTTGTGTTCATGTAGACGAAGGCAAAGAGGGCGACCACTTTATCCAATGTGGTGTTGACTACAGTTATTGTAGTTGATTTTGTAAATGATATTCGGTTTGTCTTCCTTGGTTGTCGCATCCTTTGGTCTGCATAATATTGTTTGTAGGGAGTTTGTGGGTCATGAGCCACACCAATTCCAATTGGTCTCAGTAATCATGTCATGGTTTCTGATATATTCTTTATGTATGGTAAGTTGATGCGTTTGTTGATTTCTGTCGATGACTTTGTAGCTCATGATCTACGGGATACTGCAGTGTGTTCTCACTCTTTTGAATAAAGTCTGCATGCAGCCAATTTTGTGCGTTGTCAAGATTACTGAGACCATTTGGAATTGGTGTGGCTCATGACCCTCAAGGGAATATAAATGAGCGTCTTTGGTAATGCACAATTTGTCCAGAAGGAAATGAATGATTTGGAGAGATCATTCTTCAGTGAATTTATCAATCTGTTACATAGACACTGAATTCTCCAGCGTAAATCCTGTAGTTCAAATCTGAATCCATCTTATGTTTGTGTAGGGAGAAAGTAAAAGCCCAAAGGAGTGAGGAATGTGATGATAGCAAAAATGATTGTTGGCTTTCAAGACATGACATTTCTAAATGACCACTACAACTATACATTAATTACTTTGGAAAATTTCCTCTTCTAACAAAGAAAATGAGTATTGACACGTTTCAATATATATTAAAACCGCTCAAATACTAGACGATTTGAAGTTATTATCCAACCCAGTTTCACGTCATTCAAACAACTGCTAAAACAGAAGTTACCGAACATGCCTTTGTTTTCTTTTTTAGTACTCATCACCTTCAATGTTACTGCTGGATGGTAGTTAGCAGTAAAATCTAAGGTGCACATTTCGTCCCACTTGGGACTCGTCAGCTAGATGTACCTGTCTCTTAGTAAGCGATATTGTTCCCACTAGGAGTCGACCGCAGACCAATAGCTTGAAATACCAGAGCGTTATCCACTTAGCCAGTGAGTCACATTACCCATTCCTTATGTGACAGGTATAGTAAAGTTTAGATTCTATAGCTTGTAAATTCCCATCGTGGCTGGTCCATTCGGTTCAGTAAACAAAGGTAAATTACAAGTTGTTACACCTAAACTAGTAACTTTTCTTAAGAACGAAATGTACAGACGTCAATATCTGTGATAAAAACTTTAGCTTTGAATTACTGAGTCTGACCCCGGTGTTTGTCTCATCAAATGGAGATCAGATTTTATCACAGATATCTAGTTCCCACCACATAAATCACTTATTTGTAAATCGAGTTGATTATTCTTTTTTGAAGCATTAAGTATTTATCAATCAAATAAGTCAACATTGAGCCTTAAGTTGGCATTTTTCGCTATGCAAAACTTTGACTCCAAAGAAAGCTTGGCTTTAACATGCTTAGAGAGGTTTTACTAGAACACGAGAATTTATTGTCTCTTTGCTTTTATAAAATACAAATAATTTACTTATGGAAAAGTTACTGTCAAGTTCACCTTAATAAATAATCGATTAAAACAGTTACAAAGTATACACATGCATATTTACTGTTTTCAACGGCTTATATCCTTGTTAGAATGTAAGTTAACCGTATAAGAAATCACTTTTACAGTTATCTGTATTTTGATTAATTCTGATTGAATGGTTGTCATTACAGTGTCCCTACGAAATGGCCAGTCGGTATCAGAAGTGTAGCTAGTTTTTTTTGTATCTCTCTGTACTAACGAGTGACTTTGAAGGGCACCCTAACAACTGCTAAGATAACCAATCATGTTTCTTCATTTCAAAAATAACTACCTTCTCAGCTGAAATACCGAAAGCTGATTGGCTATTTCAGCAGTGGCTAGCTTGGCCTTTACAGACAATCGTAGTAAAAGAGTATTTTTTTTAGTTGATTTGTTCTCTTCGATTGAATAAATCTATGCTTATCTATCCTCTCTAAATTCTAACTTAACCTTGAGTGTGTGGATCCAGTATGTGTTGATGTAGCAGTAAAAACTTGTCAGGCCTAGATACAAGACTAATTATCATTTGACTATCTGAGATAGCCGTAGTCTGACAGACTAGTATTTATACTAGGTAGTGATTCAAGGTAAAGTGAAAATTTGGACCGCAGCCAGATTCGAACCAGTGACCACCAGGTTTCCGGCCCGATATCCTACCAACTGTGCTACGAGGTCCGACTACTGATCAGATTTTTATTTCCCTTCGATCACCATGGGTTTCACCCGACTACCATGTTAATTGGTGACGCGTTATTACCGTTTGGTCGTATTTACACTGGCTGCTGCCTAGTCAGGACTTCTCATCTCAATTCCCGGTGATCGCTGATTCGAATCCAGCCATGGTCCAAACTTTCATTTCACCTTTCATTATCACCTAATATAAAAATAGATTAATTGTTTTCCTACTTGATTCACAACGTTTTTGACTGTCAAATATCTTACCAGCTATAATTTAACAACACTTTGCCCCTATAGATCCCATACTTGAAGGATAAGTAATGCTGTTTTCATTTAGTGTAACTTTTACTTCATAGAGTTTTGAAATCATTGAAAGCGCAGAATTATCTAGGAAAAAAATGATGACCCTCTTACACATCTCATTATAACAGTACAGTTAAATAATAATTTGAAAAAGCTAAAAGGAGTCGAGTGACTTTAAAGGCTACCCTAGCAACAACGAGAACAACCAATCAGACTTTTCTTTTCCATGAAAATATCTCTCTCCAGCAGAAATGGACAAACCTAATTGGTCACTTCAGTTGTTTCTAGAGTGGCCTTTAGAATCACCTAAAGAGTCAAAGAGCAGTATAGGTTGATTACAACATTTTTTGAACTGTTAATTAGAAGAGTAAAAGATAGTATACTGCGAAAAAAACAGCTTGTTCATTTGTTATGT